AGTTTCAGAATTCGGCCTCTGCATTTGCTAGGAGTAGCTTAATAATTTGACAATTTGAATAGAATAAAAAACCTAGCAGGCGAGCAAAAAACAAAACAAACTCTGGGCGTAAAATGTCAACAACGCAGTACGCTCACCGCGGACAACCATCCTGAACACTTGTCCGGCTTTGTCATTTTGACTTTTCGGGAAACTGGATTACATGCTAAGCAATATACTGCACATGAAATACAAAGTTTTAAAATCGTCGTAAGCCAATATTCATCCGTGCTCAGCTTGTTAACTACATCCGTAACAACCGTGACGGAGTAAGGTTAAAAAACCTATGTTTGGGAGAACGGGTAGGCCGATTTCAACGCGGTCAAGTGCGCCAGAACCGCTGCAACGACGCGGTGGATGTTACGCTATTACCAAGACGATGCGCCTCGAGGGGAAAAAAGGGGACCGGAAAGGAAAGTTGTTACCATGGGCCTCCATAGACATACATGGACAAGTTGTTCCCATGTGCGTAAATGACACGACACGCCTCGGCCAGCGGCCTCGATGCGAACAAAAACAAAATTAATTAATCAAGCCGACGCCGATAAATTCGGTACGGATGTAGTCCTCCGTAAACTGGTTATCTACATCCGTAACATCTTATACACGAGTATGCTTTGTTCCGCATGATTGGCCGAACGGCTTGGCCGATTTTCACGCAGAAAAGTGCGTTAGAATCGTCGCAACGACGCCGGTAATGTTACTCTATTGCTTAATCGATGCGCCCCAACGTGTAAACAGAGGCCCCCAAAAAAAATGTTGCCATGGGCCCCCATAGACGGACGTGGGCTGTTCATTTGTACAGTCGCAGCGACAGAGGCACCCCGCGGCCTTCGGCATCGCTTCGACAAACAAAATGAAAAATCGTAAACCAGGGCAAAATAATAAAAGTAATCAAGCTGGCGATTAGCGCAATCTGTATTTTTGCTTTGTTACTTAGCTTTCTTAGGGTTCTTAGGGTTCTTAGGTTTCTTAGGTTTCTTAGGTTTCTTAGTTTTCTTAGGTTTCTTAGGTTTTTCAAATTTCTTAGATTTGTTAGTTTTGTTAGTTTTCTAAGATTTTCTTAGGTTTCTTACGCGTCTTAAGGTTTTTAGGTTTCTTAAATTTTTCTTAGGTTTTCTTAAGTTGCTTGTGTTTCTTACGTTTGTAAGGCTTCTTTAAGAAACCTTAAAAACGTAAGAAACATTGTAATACAATTCTTACGCAAAGAAAATTTTTTGAATACAGAAAATTTGTAAGTTTCCTTAAACAAAAATTTTCAAGACTAGTACGCCACGACAATACGTACGGATGTAGATCCCGTAAACTGGTTATATGAATACTAATCATCTGTGCCAGGACTTTGGCCCCTCTCCTTTGAGGCAAAGGATTTCGGCTTCTACTTTACCAATTTTGCTGCTTTAAAGTACATCAGAATTCTCTCAATGTGGCGGTGGATCATAGATTGTTGATTTTTTGCTAAACTCATTTGGCTACGTCCAGTGGTCAGTCGTAAGCTTGTTACCATGGACACGATAAGAAATGCATACACATCTAACCCGACCTGACCCAGCGGAACACTAGCATTCTAGCAGTATCTTTGCTCGTATTTTAGTGCAGTACAAAGTATCAGCGTAAACTATGTGTAAATAACTTCTGTACACTATTTAGCCAGTCCGTGTTGCGATAAACATAAGTATATTCATGACGAGTATGTAAGAAAACGAAAAGCAAAGCATCTTTGTGTGTAATACTGATAGTACTTACGTAAAGTATGTAGGCAGGTCACTGAAAACTACAATATCGCTCATTCCGATTGTTTCTTTAGTTTTACCGGCATAATACATAAAACTGTAGAAATTAAAGCATTGCAGTTAATAATAGTCGTACAAGCCAATATTCATCCGTGCTCAGCTTGTTCAAGGTTATACAAACACGTTGCTTGTGTACCACACGGTACATTCATGATACGTATTAGTAAGTTATTGCACCTAAGCATCTCATAATCAAGGGGATTGGCGACCTGGTTGCACCGTACACTCATAGATCAGTTAGTAAGACAATGGTCATAGTTCATAATAGATGACACATCATGAGTATACAATATATTGGTAATATATTTCTTACAAACATTCTTATGTTTTCTTGTTATTTCTATTGTTACTTCTTTTGTTCTGTTGTGTTAAAAAAGAATAATGACATTGCACCAACAAGAGAAAACGAAACAAGATAAGAAAACATGACATTAATAACATCAGCAGCATAAGAACAAACTGAAAAATAAGAATAAATTTAGAAAACAAAAAAATAGCGCAAAAAATATAAGAAAACATAATAACAAAGAATAAGAGACCATAGAGAACATGAAAAAATACATTGAACGTACAACGTAAGAAAATAACTTAAGAATTACATAAGAACACGTAGGAATCAAACATACGAAAACATAAGAACGAGAATAAGAGAAACCTAAGAAAACGTAAGAAAGAACAGTAGATAAGAAAAATAAATAAAAAACATAAGAAAAAACATCAGTAACGAGACTCTGTAAGCAACACATAAAAGATAATTATATTTTATCGAGCTGTCGGGATAAAACGGAAGGGCGAGACGTGCGGTGGGGAGTTTGGGTTATGCATTAAAGCAAAACCATGGGCAGAAGCTTCTACCAGTCGGTTGAACATTAACATTAGATTGATTGAACATTAACATTAACATTAGGTTGAACATTAGATTAAAGTAAACTTCCTTTATCCACAACGAATCCAGAGATGGGAGGGTGGGAGGAACAACTTTTGAAGCTGTCAAATGGCGCGCAGGATGCTATCGTCTGCGGTTGTACATATAGGCATCCGTTTCGCAGTGGATCCGGCTTCGCGAAAAGGCTTCGATATGAACGCAGACAGGCTGCAGACTGACCCGTTGGGGTTGCCTGCTCTTGTGCCGTAATAATAATTATAATACAAGTATCGGTCGCGCTAGCGCGCGACCAGCTGTGTTCGAGGTATGGAAGAATGAAAGAAACACAAAATATACTTCGTACAGCAATAAAAAAGATTTTGAGAAATATTTTAAATACAAAACTCAGCGAGGCTAGCTCCGAAAATATTTTAAACATGTGGAAATGCGGACAGTTATCAAGCTTTCCGGTAAAATTGGACCAGTTTTATAAAAACTGCGAAAGCCTCCGTAATTTTTTTTTCTTTTTGTTTGCCTTTTTCACGGTTCGTTTTCACGTTTTTAATGTAACTTTATATTGCCAAAATAAGAAACTGAAAACTTGAACTTTTCGTTACGACAGATAATATTTAAACGGTGATAAAATGGATGAAGTGGGATCATTTACACGATGCCTATAAAAAACCATTCAGCCGATGTCCTATATTTCAGCGCAGAATTAATGGAAACTTGTGGGAAACAATTAAGGGTTGCCCAAGGTGACCAGGCTGCATCTTTAGCTACTAATAATTGTAAGATTTTCAGCCATTCAGGCAAGCTCTTCAGTGTATATTAAAACAAAATAAACACATATTTATTAGATTTCGAGGTTAGTGAATGCCCAAGCTACCACGTACCAGTATCACAGAGCCGCTACGTGAGTGAATACGGTATACGGGCCGCGGAGTGGCTTCTAGATATTTAAAATTTAGAAATATATACTCGTAATAGACACTCTAAAACCGTGAGATACTGAGTAATTGAGGTATTCATATTTCTAGATATTTTTATAAGTTCGAAACTCTGGAGGCTCAAAAATTAGAGGTAACGGCCCCGCTGCGCGGGGCCGAGTCGAAATATTTGGAAATATTTAGAAATTCTGGAAATGTAAATTTAGAAATTTTGGAAATTTTTATAAAGATTTAGAAATGCTGGAATTAAGTGTAAAAGCTTCGGAGCCGACTTTGGAAAATTGTTTAGTTATTTCGAGGGATTCGAATGGATTCAAAAACATTCTAAAGGTTCTAAAGGCATTCGAAAAAAAAACAAAAAAACTAAAAAACATTCTAAAGGCATTCGAAAAAATAAAATTATAAGTTTGATGCAATTGACAACAATATTTTGAATAACTGTTGTTTAGGTTGCTAAGTTACTTGTACTTGCTCACTCGAGACGTTTCTCGTTTTTCTTTTAAAGTATCTACTATTGATAGCTAACAACATTTAAGTACTGTACTACAACTTACAACTTAAGTAAAGTACTACTACACTGCTACATTTAGTACCACTACCTTTAAGTACTAACAACCTTTAAGTACTACAACTTCTAAAAAATTTTTTAGACCTTCTCCTAAACTTAAAATTTTTGTAAAGATAAAGGTAGGAACGTTTATGCGACGTTCTATTTTATGAAGTTAACAACCTGATGAAAAAATCAATGTTAATTTAAGAGATAATTTCCAAAACTAACAACCTTTAAGTACTAATAAGCTTTCAGTACTACAGCCTCTAAAAATGTTTTTAGACTTTCTCCAAAACTTAACATTTTTTGAAGATAAAGGTAGGAACGTTTGTGCGATGCTATGTTTTATAAAATAATCCACTTATTGAAAAACGTAATCCTCATTTAGGAGATAATTTCCAAAAAATAGGGACGTAAGGATATATGAATCTATTGATACCTAATATTTACGTACGACATATGCATGTTTATTACTGTGCTAATTACCGTAATGGTTTTGCACAGCACTTCAAAACTTCTATTATTATCCTGTTTTAACTGAACAAATTTTTCAGTTTAATTTGCAGTACGCTGACAGTATATGTGTTGCCACGCGGAAGCAGTATAACGCCCGGAAGTAAAGTGCTTAGTTAAAAAGCGCTGGCAGGCGTTTTTTTGACTGTCCAGTTCTGTTCTGTTCTGTTTTTGACTGTTGACTGAAAAAAAGGATATGCTGTTAATTTACTAGGTAGATAATCGACTTACGATCTCGTACTGATAGGTACTTCCTTCGAGACCGAAATCTCTTTCCCGTGCCTCTGTAGTCTTATATTCAAATAGGCATCCAAAAGGAAGCCAGAGCATGCCAAACAAATTCATACTCAACACACTCAGAGCCCGGCCAAAAACATTCAAACACTTCAGTCTTTAAAGGAAATAAGGAATAAAAGAAGCCGTTTTCCGGAAACGAGTCCTTGTAGAGTTCATCACTACCATAATACCATTGATAAATACAGCAGCTGAATATTAACAACAACAGTAACAAGGTAACCCAATAAATGCATCTGCTGTATATCGTATCAACAAAAGGACACAGCCCCATCCGTCGCAGTGCCGTAAAACTACAAATGCCAAACAAAGTTTGGTTAATACTCTGGTAGTCGACATTTTCATGCGTTTGCGTCGGTCGGATGTTGATCTTCGTGCATCTCTTGTATTGCAGTCAGATCTTCCTGTACGGATTCAATGATACTTTCGATTTTCCTCTGTTGTACTTCGAACGCCCAGTCCGAGGTATGGTACTGGTCTCGGCAGTATGTGCTGCATTCGTTCAAAAATGCTGTCAGGTTATTTGTTAGTTTCTGCAGTCTGATCAGTAAAAAATCCCGGTGAAGAGGATTGGTAATCAGCGACGCTAAACCACACGCTTCCACCCGAAAGAAGCGGCGATGCTTGTCGAGCTCTACGAATAGTTGTCCACAGTGGAATAACGTTCTAGTGCACTTCCGTGGACTGCGATAGTTATGTAGAAGGTACTGCTGAATCAGGCTGAGAAGTCGCTTTATCTACAGAAAAATATAAAAGGATCGGATATTAAGTTGCTAAGGTCATTCATGCCGAAGTAGGACTACCTCTTCGTAGCGTGGTACAAGCTTGCTCAAGATGTCTACCGCCCATGCTCGGCCATTGCGCATCTCCGGATCATTCCCCTTTGCCAGAGATATAGCCATGTGGTCCACTGCCGTCAAGGTGTCTAGCACAGCCGGATCGCAGTCAGCCACGCCGGGCACTTTCATGGCAATGCAAGCGCACAGATCCGCTAAGGCGCTATTGACGCTGTCCAGCTGGCTTTGCAGTTTCCCACTCCCCCGCATACCGCTCATCGTCATTGTGCATGACCGACAGTGCCTTCGCTTTCACCAGGAATTCATTTACACCGGCTTTGAATTTATCGAGTTGACCGGCTATATCCGCTTTGGCTTGCTCTTGCCATTCCAGCGGATATCCAGCCAAAATCCGACTCGGTGTGAAATACCCCCCTGCAATACGAAATTCTTGCGGCTTCCTGTAATATACCCGCAAATCTTCCTGTCGCAGATTTTTATTACTGCGCTACTATAACAAACCTACCGATTGCTTGTCTCTGGTTTAGCACTGCACTAAGATGTTCCTCGGAAATAACGGCACTGGATGCCCAGTCTAGTACCAACTTTCCACTCTCGGACAGAATGTTCTCAGCTGAGTGGCCGAATCTTTTAGTGGCGGCAAGATTGACGGCCGCCGAGGAAGCTGTATAGCAGGAGTTGTACGATGCTAAAGCACCGTTTATGATCTGATTCATCTGACGGAGCACCTGTGGAGACAAGCAAAGGTCGTCGCACTGCAAGCACCGACAGTACAGGGAGAGTTCTCACCACCTGGGGCTGGTTTTTTGCTGCTTGAGCGGACTGCAGCTCAGTGCAGCTTTTGCGCAGTTTATATAAGGAATGCCACAAATCTTCCATAAACTCCACGTTAAACTCGCTAATGTCGCCAAACGGCGAGGCTTGACAAATTCTCAAAATGGCGAGATTGCATTCATATATGAAGTCCAGCACCTCTTCCGGCAGCTGACCGTATTTGTTGGCCAGTTCCTCCGGATGTTTGTCCTTTAGGCAGCGCTGAATGTGTTCTAACGTCTGCTGAATGCCCTGAAATGTCCAGCGAATTTTTCTTTGCAGCTAAGCAACTAGCAGATACGGATTACCTACAGGAAAAGCAGCATCATGGTGTCGATGCAACCGCCCCATACTTCCTTCGTAATCCTTGTACGGGTGCTCAGTGTCTTCCATTTTCGTTCGGGAAGTCAAATCAGTCCGCATATCAGCCAGACACTTAGCAGTTCTAGAGCAGATACTTTGGGCATAACGCCATGCCTACAAAAGGCGTGAAAGCCCAATTAAGGTACTTATTGGTGTCATTGCTCTCAGGAGAGGGATGGCTTCACGACCCACTTTTCGACAGCCGCTTCCATGAGCTAGCTCAACACAGCTATATACGAGTACTTCTGTGAGTTTGCTTGAGCGGCTCAAGCCCCATAATATGCGCAGACTTATCTGACGTGTGAACTGGCTGTTGCCGAACAAAGCTGAATAAGCCCAATAATTACCTGCCTAATGAGTGGGATACATGAGCATATATATGCAGTTGCGACTTACCAAGTAAGAACGAACCCATAGGGCTGATCCAATAAGGAGAAATGCAATCTGCCGGTAAAGCGCATATAACGTTCAACTTCTGAATTAACGTTCGTTCAACGTTCAATAACGATCAAAAACGTTCAACGTTCAACTTCTGAATTACGAGTAATAATCTCATAGAATGCCCTGCCGTGCGCAGCACTTTTAGCTCTTTATGTTTACCTTTAGGCAAACAGGAACAAATAGCAAGCTGAGTATATGCGGACGCTTTGCATCGGTGTACTGCTGAATCGCTTCGGCGCAACCCTAGGAATACCATTATAACTGCACCTTGTGTTAATATCTCTAGTCTTAACACGTTCCGTACGAGCATTTTGTTGCTGATGCCTCTTTACACGAAGCATTCCGCAAATGAATACAGACAGAACTGAATAGAATTAAGTATTACATTAACGAGGAGTCGACACAATAATCCATCTTACCTTAGAGAAAAACGAAGATGGTTCCGTGCGGCGTAAGCGCTCATTATAGCAGTGTCGGCTTTTTAGCAGACGGCTGTTAGTGTCGGCAAATTCGCAGCAGAACACAGGCGCTTCAAAGGAAGGAAATGTGTTGTAATCAGCAGAGACGTTAAAGTCTGCAAAACCATTGACGCCACAGCACCCTAGCTGTTACAAAAAGCCAGTCAAGTATATTAACAGCAGTTCCAAGCGGGGTATGAACACTACTTCATAGTAATTAAAAATAATATGAACCCTTACTAAACAATGCAAGGCAGAGTTTTAACTATGAGATTGCTCGTATGCTGCGTATATTATAAGTTACATAAGTTTCTTTTACTGTTCGGTCTCGTGTTAGTTGAAAGGCGTTCTTCATTTAGTGATGTGAACGCAAGGCGTAACCTTCTCTTAAAAATACTGAATAAAGTTATGTTATATAGTTGCTTGTTACGTAAGTTGCATATATAGTATAGATATAAGGGGCAAAACTAAGCGTGTTCCACGGTTCCCCTGTATTGCTGCCGTCACCCGCCTGGAGTGTGACGTTACGGCAATACAAATGGTTAAATCTGGCGCGGTACATAAGCGCCATGTTCAGCCACAACATCAAACTCCAGCCGGGTGACGGCAGCAATAGCCGGAAACGGTGGAACACGTTTAGTTTTGCCCCCTATATTAAAAGCTGTATAACTTGCTCGTAAATAGGTTACTTGTGCTCGCAAATAAGCGCTGGTTTCTCTTTATAAACTTGAATGTAAAATGAAAAGCTCGCAATTCGGTCAGTTGTAACTAACTAAATGAACTTTCAAATTAGTACAAGCGCTCTTTTGTGGAAGCTGATGCACATTACACCCATTTTCAAATTTCTCATCGACTTATCGCATTATCGCGCCCCTATTATTGGATAGTGATTGAGCGAATTGCTAGTACAGATGAAGAGAGTTTTTAGGTATATCGCCGGTACCTGCATTTGCAGCGCGTTAATGAACACCGTAGTTCGCATAACATCCAAATCAATATTCTCCGCAGCTGGCAGAATGTCCAGCGTGCCGTCGTAATTAAGATGAGTGGGCCAACGTGTATATTTGGAAAGTGCCCTAGCTAGCGTAGGATCCGTTGATTCTTCGGCGATCCTCCACTCGTGGACAAGAACGACACCAGCGCCAAATTCGGCAACCACACAGAGAGCCAGTACGCAGTGCTGAAGATAAACTACGTAACAGAAATTCACCAGAAACCAGAAATGGCTACAGATAATGGTACTGCATTAGGCTGACACCTTATGCGACATGTTACAGTGCAGTTTGTAGTTTTGGGTCGGCCCGGCCCGGGCTTCGGTTCGCCAGGCCCCGGGGCCCTTTCGCAGCACGGTATGGTTACACCCCAGAATGTCATTATGCCAGTGGTTACAGCAAACGCGCAACCAGAAAACTAAGCGTGGGTTTATTCAAAGTTAATATACGAAGTTGTGCGAATTTTAATAATTCTCTTAGTTTTAACAACAATGACTGCCAGCTTTCTGAGTCGCCTCTGACTCAGCAAAACGTTTGAGCTTGGAGGTTCATAGAGATTGACAGTAGCCCCTAAACTAACTTTTTTAAAAGGTTTACAGTGGTTTCGACTTGTGTTATCTGGTAGCTTTAGATCTTTTCTTATACTGCTCATTTTTATTTTTGTTTTCTGTTCTTTTTTCTTCTGATGCTTTAACTAACGAGCATCCATTCGATTTCTACTCGAGGGCTGTCGTGTGGCACTGATCAGTGCCACACGACAGCCCTCGGGAGCACTGACCTTTACTAAGTCACGACAGACATGTGTGCCGTTTCGATTACGCGTGAGCAGAAGACAGGATTTTTATCGACAGCTGTTAGGATGACCCGCGTTCAAATGCATCACGGACTTTTGGGAATTTCGCATATCTGCGGGATTTTGCGGTGATGGATTTGGACATTGTGGCTGGATGGTTATGGTTTTCAAGTTGTAATACACGATGGTTGCTGGCGCTGCTATGGTCACATACAACACCGTTCCAGTGCACGATGTGCTGGTTTGTTGAGTCTCTGTTAACTGTAGCTACCGCCCAAGTTTTGTGCTCGTATAGATGGCTGATCCCGATGAGGTTAAGTCGACTGACCCGTAACTATCCCGATAAACTTAAACTTATTTAATTCATATTATGTTTTTACATAGACTTCATGTTGAGGTTTCGATGGAAACCTTCGTCATACAAAATGACCATCCCAGAATTTCGTTTTGCACGGTCTTGGTTGTGCTAATTGCACCTGGATAAGCTGGTCTGTCGCAACATGCTGCTGATGTAGAAGTACGCTGAGTTCACTTGTTACGGATTACGTCCGGGTAAATGCGCGACCCGTAGCTTACAACGCCCGAAAATCTCTTCTCAACATTAGCGTTATCTGCCCTATCTTTCGCGCGATAAGGCTCCTGCTTACGCAAACAGCAAAATACCGGCGGATCGTGCTGGAAATAGGTCGGACGTTGCGTCCTACGGGCCGCGCAGTAGTTATGTATCCGCAAGTTGCTATCGCGAAACGTGAAAAATCTGAAAGCAGTGTCTACAAGCTTGCTTTACCATTCCGGTACACAATGTTTTTCGCCTTTTCCTTTGAGCTTGACAGATGACAAAACAATTCAACAGCAGCGTCGTTATTTCAAGTAAGGCCGCAATAATCAAGATGCACCCAATAATCCTGAATTTGTTCAGCAGGCTCAAAGACGGCGATGCTTTATACCCCGCTGATTTTCCCAAAGAGCCAGCTATCCCATAGAATTGATTGATTTCCGCCTACAGCAAAGCAAATGCAAAATGCTGATTAAAATCAATCGTAAATTCGTAAATTGTGGCACGAAAATGCTTGCACAACGGTCATTCTATGTAATTTCTAACATTTCGTTGATGTGTGGACCCTGATAAACCGACCTGGATTAACATTACGCTCCCGATACAACACATTTTTGCGTTTTCAAGCTAACAGGGGTTTAGATGAAAGTTTCTGTTGGCAGCAATCACTCGGGCCAAACCGGAATCTAATCTAAAAATTCACTCAGGGTTTATTATGAAATTTATGATTTTTGAGAGCGTGAAAGCATAATAACCAGGGCCCTATCACTGGCTGTAAATCCCACAGAATTTAATCTTTTGTTGAAAGATGGACCAACATTAGGCTAAGCATTAAAAAATATTTTCAGCTGCCATCGTCCACAAGGCGTGGCCAAATAAAAAATGTTTAGGTTATTAAAAAGTGTTAGTGTCGGGTACGAAATTTATGGTTTTTGGAAATTTCTTGTGTGGTTGCCGAACAAGATCTACTGTGAGTAATAATTATTTATTTTATCGAACAAGACCACTTTAAACTAGAATGCGTTATTACTAATGCCGTAATGCGTTACTGCTTGAGTAAGCAGACAGCAGACTGCATTAATAACGGTATTCAAAACAGCGGGGTTACTAATACAGTTACCGCACACTTTGGGTTGTAGCTTTGAATGTCATTTGCTGTTTCAGAGTTTTGTGTACAAGCATAATTTGTAAGACTTAAACAGCACTATACGCGGGTGATCCGTGTTTCAAATGCGGGCACTCGGCTTTACCTCTAACAATAAGCCCGATGATACTAGTACTATGATGCCTCGAAGGCGTTGCTGCAAAGTGCGAACCTGCAGGTGAAAGCGGCCTTCTGATTTTCTGTTCACATGGCTTGCTCGTAGTCGTCGTTACATTCTTTTGTGTACGATATATGGACGGCTGCTTTAGTGCTGTCAGTGTACGTACCAGACAGTTCTGCGCACGGCCCTACACTAGAATTACGTCGGTTCTCATACCGAAAAAACATACTGCGCTGCGTATTCGTTGCCGTTTTCTGTTTTCAGTAGTACATCAGTACATCAGGGCGATCATGCAGTCATTGCAGCGGTGCAGCTGGTAGTGCATAAAAGCTCGTTGATTAATAAGAAAACTACTATGAAACTATGAATGCCTACCACTATCCAGATGCCAACTCCCAGCATGAAGATGGATAGTGAGTGCCTCGCAATCCGCAATATCCACCATTTGTTACGTGTAAACTTATACAGCTGCTTCCTGTGTACTGGCTCCTCAGCTGCTTGTGCGTTGTTCACTGCTGATGGCAATAAGACTGTTTGCTCTTGTTGCGCTCCATAGGCCAGATTTTGCGGAGATGCCATGGCATTAAGTTTCATAAAGTACAAATTGATGATAAAATGTCATATCACACCCGTGGAACTGTTTCTACTCTGGCAGTGTTAAAACATCACCCTCTTCATTGACAACCGGTGTGCTTACGATGTGTAACACGTAGGAATACTACATAAATTTACGCATTGTAACACGGATGTTTCGAACGCATTCTGCTTTATTTTCCTGGTGCCGTGATTTTGGCACTTGACGGTACAGCGGTAGCGCTAATTGGGTTAGAATGTCGCCTGAAGTGGAAAATGCAGGAAAACATTCGGTGCATGCTTTTGTGGTTTTGACAAATGATCGCGTGTTGTCTTGAGGCGCCGGCTGCAACACATACTCGAAATTCTTTCCTACAATGCCATACACCAATTGACTTGCATGTGGTAATTTCAATGCAAGAAAATTGTTCAGTTCGATGCTGAAATGCACCATCAGCGGGCAACTGGTCTGCTCAAGGAAATTAAGAGCGCAACCTCATGGCACGCTCTGAGCGGCGCATAAGAAATACGTTGCACGTTGCGACGCCAGCTTGACGTAAAGCCTTGAGAACTTTGTTAGCGCAATTAAGCATGTTCGTGTTCGGCGCTGAAAAGCTGGCTGTACGGCGCGTTTGTCGTTTTATAGTCAATGTTTTTGGAAGACGAGGTTGTACGTATCGGCAATCATGCATAATTATATCTATATAATTGGTGTAGTGGTAGTTTATGCGTGTATCACTGTGCGATAACATTAGGCCGGATGATGCCGCCGGCACTGATCGTGTCCGCAGTGATATCATCCCCGAAGACCCGTTGACTGCATTAGAAAAAAATTCAGGAAGGTGCAGCAATGTCGCCTTGTGTGTCATACCGGCGGTGAAAAGTTTTGCAAGCGCATCGCAGAATCTACCATGCAGGATGACGAGTCACACTGCCTATATGTAGTTAAACGTTATGACACGTTGCAAGACTTCACTGAACAATAGGAATGAGCACTTACACGCTTCTATTACTATTAAGCCAAATTGCTCACGGCGATTTATACCACAGCAAAATTAATGGTAGATCATACGCATCAATGGTGCACTGAATCGATCACGACGAAGTGCACGCGCTAGTACTGAATTTTACTGACTCATGCTGCACCATTGTTGTTGCAATTATGCCTCCGGGGTGCATAGTAATGCCCGCCCACCTTTGCTATACGTGTCGACCGTTACGCTGAATAATTTTCCGTTCTTGTCTACTATAGTTGTAGAGAAATAGCACGCAGCTGCTTAAGAACGCTTCTACAGATACAATATATCTTTCTTTCGCACCGTATTAAAGAGATCTGCTTAAGTGGCTATGGATCTGTTTAGCGATAAAGCGCTGCTCCGGCTGCTCCCAAAATCATATCAGCGCTCTTTTAGGAAAGACGAGAATGCATGGCGCTTCCTTGGGAACGTGTGCCACATCAGCCAGTTCCTGTCAGTTATTACGTTAATCGGTGGTGTTCTTATTATGGTATGAGTGTACAAGAGTAGTAATATTTGTACAATAGGGGCGTCTATCGCATTCGCAGCTAAGCCGGATTTAATATGGCTGCTCTACCGCCACGAGATGGCTGTATGCAGTGGACACGCCCACAGATACGGTTCACGAAGCCACCTCGAGAGGTGCCGTAGCTGTATCGTCGCCAGCTTCTGACGTTCCCTATCGGCTAGCAGTAATACCATTTCTGCAAAATACGGTTTTCTTAAGCCTGGAAGGAGAAGCGCAGTGAAAAGTAACGGAAAGATAGACCTAACCAGCTGCAACCAACGTCTAATTTTCAGATAAAAGTAAAGGAATTTCACCGCATCGCATACGGTCTGGCAGAGCAGAGTGGATATCAAGGACGTCTGAAGGTTCCGTTCCTGGATGACTGTACAATAGTTGCGGGTATCGTAATGACGGCTGCGTTGATCGCTATTATATTCGGCATGGCCGGTCTCTATTACGACCATCATTCGAAGACGGAGCCATCGAAACTGGTTACTTTACTAGTGAGAATGATCAAAGTGTAGGGAATATCTGTTTACTTAAGGTGGCAGTTGTTCAATAGGGCATACCGTAATTATCGAATTATAGCCCCCCCCCCACAATAGTAGCCCTCCCCGTTATTGGAGCCCCCTCTAAAGGTGGTTCGAAAATTAGAAGCCCCCCCCCCCCCCGAAATATATGCCCATGGGCTATATGAAATGCACACAAATGCTGCCAATAAAACACATTTGAAATATAAAAGCCCCCCCCCCAAATACAAGCCATGCCCGTAATTGAAGCCCCTCCGTGGGGCGTTCCAACTTTTGGAGCCCAGGGCTTATAATTCGATTTCTACGGTAAGTGCTGTGTAACACTGACAACAGACAGCGCCATATCGGTATTGCAGCAAGCAAAATGTGCTGCAAAAGACCGCTATAAGCGCAGTACATAAATGTAAATTTGGTTACAACTTACGGGTAAGTCTGGCGCGGTTCATTATCGTCATAATAAGCCACAACGTCATGCTCCAGGCTGACGGCAGCAGTATCAAAGCAGGAGCGGTTTCAGTACGAAAAAAGAATGGCGGCTGGTTGCTGGTCGCGCCAGTCATAAGCTTTAACTCTTCGAAATTTTTGGAGGTGGGCGGAAGTTAGATCCTTCAAGTCGGCCAATTGAGCAGGCCCGGGAAGATCTACGCTTCCTCATGCTTGTTCGCTTGACAAAGCATTTCCTCACTGAATTTCGCTGTTGCAGCTCGATATACTAGTATATGGGCAACGGACGCGCGTTCTAAACCTTTAAATAACACTAACCAATACCCGGTAACGATTTTGGTTGTGTTCTAAGTGTTAAATCTGAATCATTTAAGCGTCTACCAAGGCAGTTTTTTGCTATATAAACGGGCTGCTGCTAATGTACAAAAACGAACGCCGTAATTATTGCGGTAAGTGGTATACGCCGTGACCAGCACTTGTTTCCCTTTCAGCAAGCCGTCCTCATCACCGCTGTAATGGCGACGGAAGTTATAGCGGCTGCAGTTCTTGTACAACTGCAGCAAAAGAAAAACCTGGTGGACGATCTGTCAGGTTTGGCGAAGCAGTATGCTGATCTGCCAAACCATCTAACCACTGACGGATCAATAAGCGTGTTAAGAGATCCGGATGGTGCTACAGCGGATGCAAATGTACTGCGGGCAACAGTTATTCTCAATGCCCTTCACATGATGGTACGGTAGAATTATATGTGATATATTAACTGCTGTGAATCATAGCAAACAGACACAACGTGACATTACCATCGCTTTTTGTATTGGCGAAAAACGCTGCGTTAAGATTTGTAAACGGCGATGTTACTGATTTCTATTTGTCACTACATAGATGAGTTGCTGCGGAACAGACTCAGGATACAATAATTTCCGGTCGTCATTATATTTTAAGGAAGTATTCCCTGTTTTCGTGCCGCCGGTGTACTGCTGCAAATTTCAGGATCCAGTCGCCCGGATTCTGAAGGATAAAAGCTGCTACTCCACAGCCGGTCGCTATTCCAAAGAATCGTCGAATTTTAATACGGTAAACATGCCTCAAGTCGTTTTGTGCCAACCATCAAAGGCGGTGTGTAAAGTATAGTTTTAGGCCGTGTAAATTAATATTACCGTAATTATCGAATTCGATGCCCCCCCCCTAAACACAAGCCCCTCCGTAATTAGAGCCCACGCTTAAAGTCGTCTGAAAATTATAAGCCCCCCCCCCCCCCCCCCCCGAAATAGAGGCCCATGGGCTTAATTAAATACCGTAAAGCCCATATTAAGTAATTAATTACCGTAAAGCCCATATTAAGAAATGCCTAAATCCTGGTAACCTGGTTTGAAAAATTGAAGCCCCCCCCCCTTATTACAAGCCCATGCCCGTAATTGGAGCCCACCCCGTGGGTCATTTGAAATATTTGTAACCCTGGGCTTCTAATTCGATAATTACGGTATATCCACCGGCGAAATTTCTACGCTGCTTCTTATGTACAAAACTGGCTGCATAAGGTACAGGGGTGATCTTGTTTATCGTTTGCAAAGGGCTGCACAACACTCGTCGGCAACTACATTGATTACTGGCTGTGGCGGATTGCTCTGGCCATTGTGCTCACTGCGATAATAAAGGTACGGAGGGTCGGAGACCATACCCGAATGTCATGGAAGACTGGCAGTAATATCAAGGAATATCTTGCAGCTTTGTGCATATCCTGCCGCACTGATCTGGAAGCGTTGTCGCACATATTCGGTATGTCTGTACAGTGTACTTGCAGTTCGCAACCCAGTTTTACTGCGGTCATTTCGGTATGCTAATGGGAGCTAACCAAATAATTCGCCATGGAATCCGCATTGACCGTCATTATGATCCGGAAACGTAGAACAGTTTGTCATGTATAGCTATTGGTAGCGGAGTGGCCACCTAAAGTGTTTTTATGACTCCTAGCCAATTCATTTACAAATAGAATAACAAACACAAACAAGTTGTCTACTTGCATTTTCTGCATATAAAATTAAGGGACAGCAAAAGCGCAGCTTCAGGCAAAAGCTGCGCTTTTGCACAATGGCCAAGAAGAGGGAGCTGCTTTACGGTACACGTTCAGTAAAGTTAATTATTACTTTCTGCAGAAGCTGTATGGGCTGTGGCTAGATGCTAATGCCGTATGCAGTGAGGCCATCGAACGGATCCATGCATGTAGTTCAGGATCCACACCTTATATATCAGTGGAGCCGACGTCCCCGCCCATTTCCAGAAGAAACAGTACAGCAAACTGTCCGGATTTTCTGTCTAAATTGGATGATTATCGAGAGGTACTCCTTTAACACCGTAATACGGTATTCCTTTCGCGTAAGCAAAATCAGACATCAAAATGCCAAAAACACTGATTTAGTAGAAACGCCGAGAAGGCAGCCTTCGTTGTCTCTGTGTGAATATCATTGCTTACGAGCAGATTATCCTGAGACGGTTGCCTAAGATCACCCATTATTTGCACGCCAAACAGCCGGCAAAGCTAATCCGGGAATATGGCCAACTGCCGGAGGAAATCCTGGAGATGATGGACATTTACAGGAAGACGGATCAGGGGATGTCGAAACCGGTGTGCATGAATCCCGATGCGGCGGACACTGCCCACCCTCAGAAAGACATCGTGGACGATCTGTGCGAAGTGTGCGACGACATCAGCAATGCTTCAACACCTATCTCGCAGGTTTGTGTAGCAGCCTTAAAAGAACTAGAGATGGCTGCTTAAAACTCGTACAATTTGATATTCGCTTTACCCTGCATTATAACTGTAGGCAGAATCTACTTCGTTTCGTAAAAGCTTTTTTAATTCTTCAGTTTCTACGCAAACTTTCACAGAAAAGTCACTCAGGTCAAAAATTAACATTAGAACCCAGAAAAGGGAGTTAAAAACATCGTGCGAGTTAACGTTAATAGAATGCCTGTGTCGATTTCCAGGACAGATACATTGATGCCGTTCAGAGAGGCGCGATGATATTGTACGCATACTGCCGCAACGGCGCCAAGGAAGCGACATCCTTCAGAGCCAGCCGATATTTTGCAGCGTGGGCCGAGGACGTGGCACGACTCGCAGGCACGCTGCTGCACAACACGACCCCCGACTCGTGGGACAGCGGACGGACAACGGCTGCCGGGAAGTTGAAAGCCGTCGCTAAGCAGGTCTTATTCACGTGTCAGATGTCGCGCGAAGGAAGCGACGCGCGGCTGGATGCACAAGAGAACGTCACACCGCTTCTACAGTCCGTGGAGAACTTCCTGATGGAAGCGAAACTGCTCACTGTCCACGACAACCACCAGGCAGCATACGACCCCCACTGGAAAGGTCTGGCTGCGTATGCGCTGGAGATACGCAATAATTTAGCGAAACTCAGTCAGCATCTGGGCGAGCATGTGCCCGGCGTAGTTGACTGCGGCGAGATACTCCACGACACGGAAACAGCCCGCCAGCATCTCACCGACGTGCTGCAGCAAGGACCCCTGGCAGAGTTCTGTACTGGATTTCTGGACGTACAACAGGTCATTTATCTACTAAAATTACGGGTCATATGGCACCTAATTAAATATTTGAATTTTCACTGTGAAGTAGTGTGTCCGCGCTGGCACTTTTGTCATTTCGATGTGCGGTACTTCCTGTTAAAGTTAACCATAATTAAAATTTACAGAATTGTTCATCCACAATCTTTCATAGCGTTCAGTAGCTCACAAAGATCTTTACACTTTACAGTCAATGCAAAATGGTCTCTTTTGCAGTTTTCCCTTCCGCGTTAATCAGAGCAGTTTAATTTCGTTTGCAGATGTCAGCGATTTTGGACAAAATGGTTATTGCTGCTTTTGCATCCACCAGCGAGGGCCTGTACTGCTTTGGGCAGTTGATTATCCAGCTGGACAGTCGTCGACGTTTTTTGCATTTAGAAACCGCTGCTTTAGCCGCAGCTGTCGGTGACGGAAGTGACCAAGTCAGATTATTCGGCCACCTTGACGCCATTTTCAAGGATTTGATTGCTCTTCTCACTATTTGCCGGTCTCATCTGGAGAAACGCAGCACCGACGACTCTTCCATAGCAAAACAACTAGAAATTCACAAATACGTAGCAGCAACGCAATCTAAATTGGCAGCTTTCGACAACTACGGCGAGCAGTTGGTAAGTGGTTTAAACTCTCTTTAAGGTTCTATTGATATACTGTATTCTACTTTCTCCTCAGTTAAACTTCCTCTAAATTGCAACGCCGTTCCGTTTTGTTAGGTGACACGGTTACGCATGTATGATCCTGATTTGATGAAAGAGCTGGCTACTTCACAGCTTACGTTAGTGGAGGTTCATCCGGATACAAGTTCAGCTCATCCAGCATCTAGAGTGTACCCAACTGTACCGACAGCGCTGTAAGTAAATTCTGTGCATTGTGACGCCTTTCCTTAAATACCGGCTAGTATATCCTTGACGGTCATAAATGGATACAGCAGCGCATCTAAATAAGTTCAACTAACGCTAAATAAGAATTAAAAAAATATCCAAAAATGATATACTGTACTTAGTGTTGTAAAGAGCATCCGCTTCCAGGTTGAGTTTGAGACGCCCGCGCATGCTTGGGCAGGAGCGGATAACTATACCGGCTTAATTTCTTTTTGTCGTTTCAGCAGAACTCCTCAGGATAGTGCGCTGATGGCAGGCAAGTATGGAAACTATTGTTAGTAATGCCGTTAATATCATGCCTGTGTTTTGTAATCTCCTGTATTGTGATTTGAAAATCAGTGGTCATGATTCATGGCTGTGTTATTAGGCGGCAGTTCTTCGAGTGCTGAAGCAATTTACTTGCTTGCACCGGGATACGACTCAATTGTTTCAGCTGACACCGATGAACGGCCGATTCAAATGCACCAGCTTGCGGACCATGAGGAGCCGGAAAACAGCAAACCCAAAAGAACAGCAGCATCAACAACAGAGCTACCTTTTTCATCAGACCTTTTTTCACCGTAACAAAACGATTTGTAACCAGTGGAGCCTTGTGGTTACTTGCGATTCTGTCTGCTGATTATTACGCTAAGTAGCGGATAACGAGCGAGATATTCTGTGATGAGCAAATTAGATGTTATTTTTTTATAGCAGATATCGACGAAAGCGAAGCGAAGAATCATCTGCAAACATGCAGAAGAACCAAGGTTCTAGCACTGAAAAAAAGGACAGCGCATTTTAAATTGAAGTTGCATGGTACCGCTTTTTGGAGTCGGAACTAATCGATCAGTTAACGCTCCGACGATTGTGTTTATAATTGGATATACGCAAGATAAACACGCTAGGCGATACGCAGCGAATCAGTGCCCATAATTTTATACTAAATTACTACAGTAGAAGCTGAGCACGGATGAATATTGGCTTACCACAGCATTGCGACTTTTAGAAACAATTTTACTGGAAAAAAATACCGCATCGATTAAGTGCATTTTGCTTCATTATAGATATCTGCTTGGATTCTGTTTCGACATTTGTTCTCATTATAGTCAAACTGTCAACTAACAGTACTTACGCTAGTGACGCCGAAAAAATGTTTACCCCTGATAACTGGCCCCCAAACATCGGGGTGCGTGAGTGGGCATTACCCCAAGAAGGTGTTGTTAATGGTTTGCTCTCCTGTGTGCTTTTCATCGTGATGCTTTCATAATTTTCTGCCTCTCATCCTCATCCATTTTGGTACTTCGTTTGTACTTGCATTTCGATACTTATTAAAGGTTACAATAAATAAAGTTAGAACCAGTTCCTGTAAAGTTTACGGCATCCATAACAACAAAGTTTCAAATGACAACTGGACTTCAGGAAATGTATATTTGAAAACTTTGACCAGCCTATAGCCATCAGTATATTGAGAGAATTCTAATGCCCTTTATTCTGTGAAAATTGGATGGGATCATGGGGGGAACATAAGTTAGCCATGGAGAACGAAAATCCTTGCACAGATGATTAGTATTCATTCAAAATATTTTTTTATCGATGTGATACCCTGCCGTCGTCTGCTCAAAGAATTCAAATTCAGCAGCAACAGCATGTAACTTCAGTCACCCTGACAACAACATCACAATTCTCAACCGTTATGGTGCAACGTGTACAATATATACTGCGTACTCGTCCATTCAAAAATAATATTAATATTATTAGCACCATACATACAGTATTAGCGCAAGTACTGTACTACCACATGTACTATTAAAAAACGTGTTGAAAAATATTAATAGAATCTTGTAATTTTTGGACAGGAGTCTGCCACAACCTTTAAAAAGCACTAGCAGAAAAATGGAGCTTATTTCCAGTGTCTTCAGTTTAACTTGAATAAAAATGCCAAGGAGTAATTGTAGACCTTTGAACGTTCGCTTATTAGGTTGTGACCTTTGTAAAGATTACATCAGCGTTCTCGTAATCTTTGGCGTTTTCCTTACACGTGTTGGCTCGCAAGATCGCTTCACCGTCCCGGCGGAGGTTTACGAGCGCAATGTCATCCAGGTGCCGGCCAGCGCCAGTCCCAGCGACGAGGTCATCATCATCTCCCCCACCCCACAAAATCCTCCCAGTGCGCAGCGGGTTGCCTACTGGATTCAGGGCAATGGACGACCCATCCAGGTGACAGGATCGTCAACCCTGTAGCCTCTTGTTATTGCTGGGTCCATTCACTGTGGTCTTCTTGTAAAGGCGACAATTATTATTCTTTAGATCAACAAAAAAGCGTTCTCGCTGGCACCCAGCACAAAGTCCAAGAAATGCCCGACAGAGTATCTGGCCATCTGGGATTTACGATGTAAGTCAAACATAACTATGCAGCGCAAAGTATAAAGTTGAACTATTCTTTGGTTTCTTGCAGCTGAATTGCTTCATTATCTCTAATTGCTGCTTATGGTGCAGTATTTCTTTTTAGATCCGTATTATGTTAAGCAGCTCTCCTGCCAAGATGGGCCGGAATTTCCTTTCTACTCTTACAGCGACTCGGTGGTAAGCAAACCGGCTAAAATATAAAGAACTAGACAAGCGCTAAAGATGACTGGTCCACTGCTTTGCAGATGATGCTCTTTGTGTCTGACCAGACTGACGGCACCGGGAGTTTTTCCGGCTTCCAGCTTGCCGTTTCCGGTAACACAAGTGCTCTGTATTTTTAGAACCGCAGATTGTTTATTATTTATGCCTTTTTGTAGTTAGCTCACGCTGTGGCGAGGATTCGTTAACTTGTCCCGGGGATAAAACTAAGTGCGTGTAACCAGATCACATTTGTGACGGTAACAGGCTTTGTTTGGCAGTAATACTAACCTAAATATCAAATCAGTCATTACCACGTTAGAGTTTAATGGTTTCCGGTTAAAATCACCTTACTAAATCGTCTGCAACATTTTCAGCATGGGAACAAATCTTTCTTGGACTGCAAATTCACTTAGTGCACTGCGTTACTGCATATCGGATATTCAAACGTGACCTTTAATATATTCAGGGCGCCCGGATTGTCCCAACGGGGAAGACGAAATCTGCACGACCAAATGCGGCATCGCCAGTGTAACGTCTACCGAACAGAATCGCATCGTCGGCGGCACTGAAGTAATTTTGTCCGATTAATTTTGTGCTGCACGACCGTTGAGTGAACGCTTCGCAGGCTGTGCCTCATGCGTGTCCGTGGCACGTCAAGATTGTCGTCAAAGGATTCCAGTGCGGTGGATCGCTGGTTTGTGGCAGCGTTGTTTCGTCTTTCACCGTGACAGAATTCTAACCAAGATGTATAAATTTGTAGGTGGCGCCCGGCTGGATTGTGACCGCCGCTCACTGTTGTGTGCCCAGAAACCGCACGCTAAAGTAAGCCGAACAATTGGTGCGACATACTAAAAGCGCTGTGTTCCACATGTGGCTGTTGCAGAAGCACACATGACCCTGGTGATGTCAGCGTCAGGCTGGGTTTTCACAGCTGCAAGGATCCCTCCGATGGAACAAACGTGGACGTGGCGAAAATATTCGTACCATCCTCGTACAGAGAGACACGATTGGGTGTCAACTACGACTACTGTCTGCTTAAACTTCAACAGGTTTGTCACCGTTCTTTGAACGTAGCACGTCGTTTTTGCCGCCAATCATCTGCAGCTCCGCTGAAACAGACGACGAAATATTACTCCTCGTTAAAGATATTCCGTAATGCTGTTCTGCAGACGGTGGATTTCGCGCCGACCATCCAGCCGATCTGCCTGCCGCGGCCCTTCTCCGGACCGGTGGCAGGGGAGAAATGCACGGCTACCGGATGTGGCAACAGCGTCCAGATGAGCGGCGCGGAGAGCACCCCGCCACCGGTCATCCAACCGGACAACCTGATGGCGGTCAACTTGACCGTCTTAGACAGCAACCAATGTTATCAGCAATACTTCGGCGGTTTAACACCGGAGCTTCTCTGCACACTGGAGAAGGATAAAGACACGTACGGATAATCTGACGGTCGTATTCATATTTCGGCAGTAGCGCAATCTACTTACCTTGCAGGTGTCAAGGGGACAGCGGCGGACCGCTAGCCTGCTCCGGTCCCGATAAGAAAAGCAACCAGTTCCAGTTATCCGGAATTGTCTCCTTTGGCCGGTATGATTTTTGTTACACGGACAATACTAGCCCAGTCAAATTAATAGTTACATGTTAATGATGCGTGTCCTGCATCAGCTTGCACGTATGCGTATCAACACTGAGCAGTAAATCAGCAGGAAAACCAATACTTTCTCTCTACCTTTTACGACAAAAAAGTACACGTTTCGTTAACGTTCTGGCACGTATTAATACTAAAAAAACCGCTTCTCTGTTCATGCTCGCTGGATCTGGGTGTGTTCAGTGTTTCGGTCGCACGTTGTTCGCTGATTAAATTTTTCGGTTTCTGAGCCGCCGACCGACTGGCACAATTTTCATTTTTGACAGGTACTGCAAGCTTATATCGTTCAGAAAGAGGGAAGCATGCGGTCTGCTTTTCGTTTGGGCTGGAAAATTATCCATATATCTGTACATAATAATGTGTGATGTGCAATATGTGCATGAGTCCTGCACCAGAAACTGGAAATCGGTCAGTCGGTCCGCCGTTCTAAAATTTTGTCAATTACTGTAGCTTTGTAAATAGCCTGCAATTGAAAAGTATCCAAGCAGTGTAGGATTCCAAAGACAAGCTTCTTGTTTGCGCAGTATGAGTTATAACTAAACAGCCAGTTAAGTCGATATAACGACGGATGCGTAATTTTTTAGAGGCTGTGCGTGGAATACGCCGGGTTATTTCGCCGACGGACGTCGCTTGCTGCCGTTCCTCATTGAGAGTGTGTACACTGAGGGTAAATGGGGCTGGCACGCCGATACGTCCGTGCCGCCCATCGACGGCCTCTCCCTGCGGGCGATGCCGTATACACCACGCGTCATCCCCAACCGCGCCTATATGGCAGCGCCTCCGTCCACTGCCGTGTATCTTGCTGTTCCTGTCGTTTTGCTAATGCGACCGGTTATATGTGGTTGCGGACGATGCTAAGAAAAGTGTTAAACCTGCCCGTATCATGTATCCAGTTGTATCCTTAGCAACAGCAGTTGACTAATTAACATATTTTCCGGTAGTTTCGCCGCTACACGTTCTGGTGCATGAGGGTTTATCGTTATACCATCGATGGCAAGGCGCCCATGTAGAATACCGACTATCTGTAGGCACAGGGCCACAGGTACGATGGCTTTTCACTGCAGAATTGCCGGTGAAAGATTAGATGAAGGAGGTCATCATGCCAGTTAACTGCAGAAACGTGTTAATGGTGCAACGCTGTTGTGTGAAACACGCAGTGCAGTGTTTTGTTTCCAGTCAGAAAAGTATTTGCAGCAAAAATACTCTAGAAAACTGTCACAAATTAAAACGTATAAACAAGAAAACAGATCAGCATAGTTCATATAGGATAGCCAAGTCATTTCCAGTTCAAGGTTCGGTTCAAGGTTTACATTAGTTCGACAAGCCTGCACGACCTTTCATCGGATACTAAAAATACTTGGAAATATCTGTATTCGCAGATTTATGTACGTAGTTATAGGACGTACGTACAATATGAAGCCCAACAGATTTTTTTTCATTTTTGTTGAATTTTCGGGAAACCTGTCGCTCGGAAACAATTGCCTTATACATTTTGGTACGCTTTAACGAGAGCATCATAGCATTAATGCAATCCATGAAAAGGAGCTGCACTACGCGAGAACCATGGATTTGCCTGATAATACTGATTGTAGCTGTAGCACCAACAGCAACCGGCGGAGCAGCAGTTAGGAGACACCTTGAAAACAGCACGCTGACCAGCACTACACGTAAGTCTGTAGTCTGTAAACTAGAATAGTAGAATGCTAACCAGAGGTCCAGAAGTACGAACACTGGCGCTCCGCACATTTCGCAGTTACAGCCACAAAACGAACGCCTCTAAAGGATAAGAAAACGGTTTCAAGATTTTTGCGAAAACACAATCGTCGTTGGTGAGAACTATGACGAGTTCGAATCAGACACCACAGACAGTTCGATCCCTTAAAAATTCTCCTAGACAGTCGCATACTGATTGCTAGTAAAATCACTGCTTGGTGCTTGAATCCGAACCGTGGATCCAGCATAATGCGGAAATGTTCTGCAATTTCTGATGCAGTGTGACCTTTAATAAGTATCACGATGCAGGTACAAACTAAGTACCAAAAGATCATGAATTACTACTGCTATAATTAGCACTTTCACAGCAGCGCAGGTCCAAAGACGCGAAGCGGGCAGCGAAACGTTCGTTCCTCCTGGGGCGCGCACCATCCATGTCCGGCTGGGGCCGATCTCAGCCGGTACTGTTTGCATGCATCGTGCCGGTGCTGTCCGGTGAACAATTTCGTCTGGCGCTATCGGAAACATCTCATCGATCAGGACACCCATTCCGTATCCGGGGTGTCGGTGGAAAACGACTACGACCGGAGCTACTTGACCATTCGCAACGTCACTACAACATCGTACGAAAAACTTGAATGTCTGTATCTCTGCGGTATCAAAAAATTTTGCCCGGTCTTTGAATGGTACTTCAAAGCCACATTGAAGTAGCGGTGTTTTCAGGCTTTCTGTTATCACTGTTGCCATAATACGGAAGTCACATACTCAGCAGAATATCTGCGGGCATCCCCAAGTTACTGAGTACCCCAATCACAGAACGCTTTAAAATTAACTTCGTTTGACGATCGCTACGGTTTATACCGTTGCTCGTGCTATGCTTAGTGTCGTTCAAATGATTTCCGAGAAGAAACCTGATTTTCTAAGATGGTGGATACATAATTTTGCGATAACGCCTTGAATAACTGGCTCATTAAAATTGGACACACAATCACATTGCCAATGACGACTACAAAGTACTGACATGCTATACGGAAGTCGCACCGCGCCTACCGTACCCGATGACCAACCATACACAGTCGGTACAGTGGGAATACGCCCTGGACTCCGATGAGTGGTCGTACACAAACAAACTCAACTTCCACTAGGTACGGCGGATGTGCCTAACGAAAGCTACCGAAACCCAAACACTCAGGAACTTCCTAAATGATCAACAGAACAGAACGTACTTCTACCAGAAGGTCACACCACCTTTTTTGTAACAGCTAACTTCACAGTCTTCAGACTCTTCTAACACAGCAGACCAAAGGCTAACCATGCAATCAGAATCGCTAATGGCATTAGTGATCACAAGAGTCAGATAAGAACAGCAGTCATACGTAACAGAACAGACATGAGCACGCACGTCATAGCACGTACGTACGTAATACACTCAATCCACGCAGAGCGTGTTAGTACGCTATTTTAATAACTTCAGAGCTTCCTTAACAACATTGCGGAAACTATTACAGAATACCGTTGCCCATGCTGTAATATCTGTACATGGTGTATAATTATGGCTTCCCAATTCAGAAAACACATTTAATGTTGTAGTGTTGCAGTTATTTTGTTACGGATAATATGCGGCTGTGCATCCGAATGCAATAAAACAATATTACTGTACAAAAATGAAGTATCATGACATGACAAGGATACGCAACGCACATAATACCGGTTGCGGCAATCCGGCGGCGATGTTAAGCCGAGCACGTCCGGGCTGGATTTGTACTTTGTAGTTTGTACGCTTTATCACTTCTGGTGCATCCATTGCAACGGCACCGAGGCCCCCGTCGCCACATTCCCGGCGGGATTCGTCTTTGACCCGGCAACACACCGTTGTGATTGGCTGTATAAAAACAGCAACTGCCAACATCTCTGCTCGACATTCGGCAATATAGTCGTCTCGGAGTGGACGGCACCGGCGCTGCCACCGCCTCAAACTACTGCCGCTTAGAGCTTAGTAACACTTGCAAACATGCGGTACAGGAACAAATATATTACTATCAACAATCTTCAAGTAATTAACATTTTTGATCCTTAGAAAAGACGCGAGCTGCTTTGTAATATGCTCACAGGAATTCTGTTCTCGTTACGCCCAAAGTAGCATGAATAAACGTCTACGTAACGTAAACGTAAACAAAACGTAAACGCTGCGTTTAGGGCGTATTGGAGTATACACGTATTGTGATTGTTTTTTCTAGTCAGAAAGGTTATACAACGTGTTTACTGGAAGCATTATACTCCAGTAAACTGCCACAGATTGAGTTTACAACAGGAAAACAGATGAGCATAGTCCATAAAGGTCAGGCAAGTCATTTCCTCCAAGGTTTACCAACGTTCGGAAGCCTGCACGACCAGCGACATTAGGATACCAGAAATAGTTTGACCTGTTCGCATTTCACTACGTAAAATATGAAGCCTAGCAAGAATAAGAATATGTCTCTGTGTTGCCCAGAAAAGGGAGACAAATGGAATTCGGAATAGTTTATAACACAGTGACTGCGTGTTGAAAAAAGTTTATAACACAAGTTTAAAAGTTGAAAAAAGTTTATTTGGAATAGTTTATAACACAGTCACTCAATAACTGTCTATAATTATCCCTTTCATAGCAGCGAAGGTCCAAGCACGCAGTAAAGTGGACGAGACGGAAGTTCCTCCAGGGAAGCGGACCATTCATGTCCGGTTGGGACGCGATCTCGTTCAATACTGCTCCTATACAGCATGCAAACGCTGTCTTGGCGACAATTTGGTCTGGCGCTATCGGAATCGCCTCTTCGATCCGGACAACCCGGATCCCGCTTCCGGGGTGTCCGTGGAAAACTTCCATGCCGCTTGAGCTACTGGACCATTCGCCGGGTGAATGCCACATCGCCTGAAAAAGTGGAATGCCTGTACATCTGTGGTATCGACAAATTCTGCCCGGTCCACGAATTTTATCTCAAAGCCAGATTGAATTAGCGGTGTTGTGAAGTGTTAGGCGCAACTGTTATGACTGCTGCCGTGATTATTGAATACGGAAGTCACATACTTGGCAGAATACCTGCGAGCATCTCAATTTATTGAATAAAATAACGAGCATGTTACGTTATTATTAATGACTTGAGAGCTTCCTTAAACCAGTTAAAAACCATTATCGCAATTATTACAGAGTCCCGCTGCACATGCTGTGATATCTGTACCCTGTACATATACAAAGTACTACGGCTTCTAAATTTAGAAAACACATTTAATATAAATTTAGTGTTGCAGTTATTCTGTTACGGATGATATGCGGCAGTGCATCCGAATGCAATAAAACAATATTACTGTATAAAAATAAAGCATCATGATAAGGAAACGTAGCGCACATATTACCGGTAGCGGCTATCCAACGGCGGTGTTCATTTCCGGGCTGGATTTGTACTTTCTACCCGTTATCGGCTATGGTCATCTGCTTTTTCTATTTCCACACTCAGTCTGCCACAATTCAGTGCAGTATTATGGTTAATACATGCACTGGTAATACGTGTATGCACGTATAATACGTACGTGCACGTACGTGTAATACGTTCAATAATGTTATATGCAGTTAGTCTTCTATACGGAAAGGAAGCTAAAAAAGGAAGCTGCTGCCAGTGCGGGCTGCACGTTTTATGCTGGATCTAACGTGCTCTCTACAGGCAACAAAGGCAGGCAATGATTTCGCAGAAGAAGCTGGAGATGGCACCCACCGCTCTTTGCATTGCATCCGCAGCCGTTATTATCATTAGCGCTTTTCTATGTGGAATCAGCGCGGAGTCTAGTGATGGTGCGTTGTTTGGGTACTTTCTGGACAAATGATGAGCAACGCATGCATTGCATTGAAGCGTGTATGTTGTCTGTACAGAGTCCAAATGTTTGGCAGCCTTACGGATGTATCCCAAACCGGATGTGACGTACACGGCCAAACACCTGTGGAATCACTGCCGTAAGACTGTCTCCTTCTAACGGCCATAATTAACCGTGCCGCTGTTAAATTGTCAACTGGTTTTTCAGCTGGTCTGTGCCGGAATTCCAGCGGCCGTTTCCCCACTGGTCAGTTCCCGCATCCCTGGGATTGTAATGCCTTTATCAATTGCTATCAGGTTCGCTGAACAACTAACACTATTTTCTTAATACAGTATTTGCTTAAATACTTATTTTTTATTTATTGCTTGATTTTATCCTGTTGATATTTTTTAGAATTATTATTCTATTTATTCTCCTAATATTAATACCGTATTTGTCTTATTATGCTGTCGATTGTAGGTACGCTTCCGCATGAAACAACAAAATAAAATCATCGTAAAAAATACTTCTACAAAAATTAATTTTATCAGCCTTTTTGTGCAGTTGTGAACGGATCGACCTCGCTAACCTTGTAACTAAAACGAAATACTGTACGAAATACTGTACGAAATACTCGTATAATAACAAATTATTGTTTGGCCTGATGCAGGACGATGCATGGGTTCACTGGTGCCAAGTGGGTTTAATGTTCAACGAGTGAGTCACCTCTTCCGCCTCTTACTTAACTGATTTCCGATATTCTTTACACTTTTTTGCCTAGCCAGCAAAATGTTGCAGGAAAAACACGGAATGCGACTGGCCGCGCAACGTCAACTGCAGCCGGCACAAACCGGAAGAGTTCACCGTGGCACCGGACGTAACCACCACGTCGCAGTGGGAATTCATTAAAAGGCCGGCCAACATCGAGGTCTTCGACGGCGATCAAGTGGTCACGTGCAAAGACTCCGATTGTAATTATTACCAATTAAATTCGGTTTTTCTGATATTAGATCCTGAATTTCGTATTTTTAGACAAACTGAACGATAAGGAATATATCGGCATTCGCACGGATTTATGCAGCAGCGGGAGTGGCGATTACGCCGTTCCCGATTGCCGATTTTATCTGCGCTGCGTCGGTGCTAAGGCCTACGTGTCCCGCTGCCCGGGCGGCTACGTCTTCGACACGAATAATCGCCGCTGCGACTGGCCCAGTAAGAACCCGAAATGTCTGCAGAGCTGTATGAACAGCGGGAAATACGAGGTGCCCGATCGCTCCACAACGCCATCAACCAATCAGAGTAAATATACCCTTCATTCCAGATAAATTTGCACGTGTTAGCTGGTGATATTAATTTAATTTTAGAATTATTTCTGACGACAACCACGCCGTCTCCGACGGAGGACCCTACGTTGGTCAATGCGACGTGTAAGGAGGATCACTGTATCCCCAAAGCCGGCTGTCAGCCTGAGTTGTGCAGGGAACCACGGGGAATGTTCGCTGTACCTAATGCGTGCCGGAAGTTTGCTAACTGCTGGGATAATTGCGCGTATGTCAACGAGTGCCCGTCGAAAATGGTATGCACGTTCCAAAGTCCAGCAAATTTTAAATCATGATTATGCAATCCGCAGAAAAATCGCTAATTTTCCTTTAATGACAGTGGCTCGCTTATCTAGTTATATGCTACTCAGAAAGCAAATATGGTGAATTAACTACTCTGTACAAGGCTGCAATTAAAGAAACAAATTTTATACATACACTGAAATACGTAATTAAGCTAAACAGATTTACTATAACTAAGTAGTTTGTGTGTTAGTTCCGCTTTGGGAGTAATTATGCAAAGCCATGCTTCAGCGCGAAAAAAAAATTAATTTTTATATCGTATAATAATCAAGTTCTGCTTTTTAGGTGTTTAACAACGCCACATTAATGTGCGATTCGCCGTGGAATCTGCCGGTAACGGACAAATGCTACGAGATCAATCCGCAAACATTAAAAACCGGCGCTTCCGGGTCGGCGACGAGCGGCTCCAGCAACGGGATTTATTTTGACCTTCCGACTGGCGGTATTTCACAGTCCCTGTCTGGCGAAGGCGGCCTCACCATGACCCAACAAATGGGCCATAGCAAGCAGATTATTTCCTAGCCGAATCATTTGTTGACGAAACACATGTAAAACGGCTGTTTTTGTTTGTGCTGTTGCAAAAAGAAATAAAATCCGTTGCACTGTGAATAACGATTGCAATCGCGGTTGGTTAGTTATTGTGATTTCGTGGATAAGAGCCAGCTGTGGGTTGGCGGGCTATCGGGAAGGTCATCGGATTATCGCTCGTCTTTAAGCGGTTTTCACGGCGGCCACATATGGCTAAGAAAGTGCACCGTCTGTAGACTGTTTCCGCGTTGTAAACTGCGCTGTAATACAGTATGTAATTTTTCCTTAGCAGAAAGCACGACGGTATCCAGATAGCGCAGTCAGACAGGGTGTGTTGTTTGTTTAAAAAAAGAACGTGGGCACCAGCGGATTGTCGGCGTACCGGAAAAAAACGCATTTGCCGTGACGTATCTGCGTCTAAAAAATGTGGATAACACCGGTGATTGTTATCTTCAGCCTGGTTTCTTACGCTAATCTGCTTAATGCACAGGTACACGAGACTCATAGCTTCTTACAAGTACGTCCTTGATTTTTATATTGTAGTACATTTTTAGGTAATAGTATGTTTTAAGTATACATACAGAGTATATGTATACGAAATGGATATCGTGTGATTTAGGCATCGCGATGCATGGAAGCGCTGAAGCGCTACCCGAAACCGGACGCCACTTACACCGCCAAGCATCTGGATAACAACTGTCGTAAGTTGCTGTCTTTACAGAATCTGAAGTCATTTATGGGCTTCTGACGAAAAAAGCCATGTGTGTGAATTTTGTAGCGGAATTGTGCCAGAGCAGCAACGGCAAGCAGGGCACTGGCCAGTATTACCATCCCTATGACTGCCACGCTTTTATTAACTGCCAAGGCGTAAGTTATCAACTACGAAGGTACTAATGGAAATACCCTGCCGAACTCGTTACGCTGTTACAGAATGATGCATCGGTGCATTACTGCCAACAAGGCCTTGAATTTAACGAGTAAGTACAGTACATTTCCTTGAGATTCGCCGCAAATTCAGCATGTGGATATATACGTCGCTAATAACAGGAAACTCGCCGCATGCGATTGGCCCTTTAACGCCAAATGTCCGAAGCGCTCCTGGCCGAGCACGTCCCCGCTTACAACTACCACACCCCCGTCGGCCGCAAAACTGGTCTTCCCGCCGTCGACCACTTGTAAAGATAGCGAAAGTAAGAACGCTTTTTACCAAACATCTTTTTAATGAATCACATTAGAAGTATGCATTTTTTTGCAGCTGGTTTCAATGTGGTGGAATATCTGGGCTACCGTCCGGATCTGTGCACAAGCGGCAGCGGACGCTACCCGGCACCGGACTGCCGCTACTACGTCCGCTGCAACGGCACCGAGGCCTCCGTCGCCAAATGCCCGGCGGGGTTCGTCTTTGACCCGGTGACGCGCCGCTGTGATTGGCCGCACAAGAATAGCGACTGCCAGCATCTCTGCTCGACCTTCGGCAATATTGTCGTCTCGGAGCGGACGACACCGACGCTGCCACCGCCTCCCACTACGCCCGGTTAGAACTTGACACAACAGCGATACAATATCGAACATATTTTTGAAGTACTTTAATTAATGAATCAAAACATTATGCTATTGGCTAGTTCTTCTTAATAAGTTCATCAGAAATTTTGAGTACAAATGTAGGACTAAAAAACGTAGATGCGTCTTTCTGAGGCATATTGCGCAGACAAGCACTACTCTGCTCGAACCCAAATGTATATTGGATGTGCTGCTGTTGCACGCTGTTTGCTGATTTTAGTATCAGATTTTTTAACCGCGCTTCTTTTGCTTTGATGTGCTTAGCCCACGTCACCCCGCAGAAGATTATCCAGTCAACGACACCACACCATCACCACACCGGACCGACCAAAGCGACGCAGCCAACCACGACGACGACCACAACTACAACAACCACAACGACCACCACAACCACGCCCACCACGACAACGACCACCGAGCCACCCCATGATCCGTTGTGCCACGCGGCCGAGGGGAACTTTGAATATCCCAACGACTGCAAGAAGTACGTCACGTGCACCAAGTGGCATGCGGCGCTACAGGACTGCCCCAGCGGACTCGTAAGTTCATCATTATCTGTACTAAACCTTAGTCATCAGGCGCATTCAACGCTATATGCGATGAAGTTTGGCTGTAGTCAGAGGAAACGCAGCAGCTGTTTTGGGTACGTACTTTGAGTGCACGTCATAAGATCTTGAATGACAATAATGATTATGGGTGTTTTTTCAATGTTTAACATTTATTCATTTTAATTAGTGTAAACCTGTGAAAGCATACTGATATGTGCATTGGCTGTTGCCTATTAAAAATTTTACGCTATATTGAACTGTGCTTTACGTACCAGGTGTACGTGGAGAAGATGAAGTGGTGCAACTGGGTATGGCTGTTGCCACCCAACCACAAATGCTACAAGCCCTTTGATGACGGGTCCGGGGATTGTCCGTTCTACCGTGGAACCGAGAACGAGACCTATGCGTCTACCACGACCACAACTAGGCCGGCCGTTGTGCCCAAACCGCTTAGCTACTGATAATCATTGGTATTATAAATCCTACAGTTCCAGTAGCTTGCGTTTTTGCACATTGTTTTCGCGATACATACAAGTACATCCCAGTAACAGTTATATTTATTGGGATAACAGATTAACAGTCAATAGAAACAGCAATATAAACTTCAACCAGAATCACTATTAGGAATATTTTCAAAGCACTCATCACATTCAGGCGCGCAGTTCGTCAAAATGTAGGAAACGATCATAACAATTCAGTTCGCAGGCAAAAAGCTAAGAAACATTCTGATGGAAGCTGGTTTCAACTTTCAATTAATTCGGCGCTCGGATTAGACGTTCGGCACTGGTTGCGTCTTCCAGCAGCTCTTTCCATCGACTACGCCCCTGAAACGCAGCGGTATAGTATAGTACACGTAATAGTGATATAAAAAATGTACTGTAATAGAACGGTACTCGTATAGTAAATGGCTTTCCAGTACGAACGTCAAAAGACATAACTTCCCGCTTCTGCGCACAGCTGCAATTCGTACCAGGATCTCCTTAGAGGACAGCTGTCCCACAATAATCAGTTGCTCAGCGGCAATGGAGAACACGTGATCCAACTGGCTTTTGCTCGTCCACATGTCGTCACGCCGAGCTGCACCGTTAGGGAACACAATCAGTGTAGCGTAGCTGTGCCCTTTTAGGGTCTCCAGAGTGCCGGTTTGGAGCGCAGATCTTAAGAAAACACACAAATAAAATTACAAGCGATCCAGCCGAATCGCGCCATAATCGGTCTGCCGGCGTTAACATTCATACCTGGAGTTTCTCTGGAACTGCTCTAGTTCCGGATCTGGTGTCTCTAAAAGGACACCGTACAGCGCTGCAGCTCCACGACCTGCTGTTCCACGAAGTTTGCCGCTCAAAAACTGGATTATAAACCTACAATACAGAGTGGCATTATGCAGTGGTCGGAGCGACCTTTGTACAACAGTGTAGGTGGCCGCAGCGCTTTTAAATCGTTCCATGACAAAATGAGATACTCGTAATCACTTCTTTCATCTGCATCGTTTGAAATTAGTAGAATTCCTTACCTTTTAGGCACAATATTTGCTGTATCCACCATGATATAGCGGCTATGCTCAAACGGCAACCACCGAAACCTATTGACAGCATGCCATTATTAGACTGAATAGTACCAGTACGATCAGCACACAGTACAGGACGTCAATTTTATCCTTACGTACTTTGCCGGTTTGGTCAATGTAAAAGGATTATTTCCCATTACTCGGGCATCGGTTAGAAGCGCCTGTACACTGCGACACAGCCGGGACAAGGAGCCAGGACCATCTGATTCTACGATCGTGGCGCTGGCTTGCGAAGTCGTTGAGGAGAAACTACGGCTAGCCGCGATTTTGCACGCTGCTAACATCCAGGAGACTTCGGCTTCCGGTAAAGCCTGAACAACAAACCGTGTCAACCAACGCTGGAATATTAACCGTCAATACCGCTAACAGTGATAAAATTATGCACAACGGAAATTAATGCCGAATCCCAGTAATGGTCCTTAGTGTGGCCACTCTCGATATACATACCGCTTCGTTCGATCGCAACGTTAGCAGAATGCTGAGAATAAGCATACGGTGAGCACAACCAGTAGACGTCTTTTGATAAAGATAACTACCCGGCACGTAGCGATAGTTCACAACAATTGCGTCAATACTTGTTTACGCTCGCGCTGAGTACTGCTGTTTAGGGCATACATACAGCACTGTATGCCACATAAAACGCGTGGGATCATTCTTTTGAACAAAGCTGTTAGGTCTTACCGGGACCGGCGTGTCGATGATATTATTGACGAACTGCAGCAGGGTCTTGGCCGTCGCCCGATTGCTGGGGACCGTAACGATACACTGACGGAATATGCTGTGCAGTATCCCGAGACTGTACTGCGAATACCGAGCGGACAGTTTATCCAGCGGAAACAGCGGTCCATTGCCATGGTGCCCAATATGAATCCCCGCTTGCGCCGTGAGGACAATCAGCTCTTTGCCAGTATCGGGACAGAGCTTGTATTTGGGTGCCTCTCCCGTTACCATCTCCACCAGCACACATCCCATACTCCACATATCGCTGGAGCGACCGATTTTCGGCCCGGTCATGGCCTCCGGGGCCATGTACCGCCACGTGCCCTCGTCGGCTTCTATTTCCATCGTCCTGGTCCGCGTCCCCAACAGTGTTCTGGACAGGCCAAAGTCCGCTAGTTTGATGGCGCCGTTCATGCCGACGAGGATGTTCTGGCCTTTGAGGTCGCGGTGGACGATGTGGTGCAAGTGCAGATACTCCAGTCCGCTGAGAATCTGCTGTGTAATGTCCAGGACTTTCGCGTAATCCAATCCGTGTGACTGTATTGCCAGGCTTCTCAGGGTGTTGCCTACGAAAAAAAGGCTGGGGTAGAAACGTCTGCAGTCATTAAATTTTTTTGGTGTAACAATATCAGTTTGTACGTAAGGGTCAAGATTAACTGAGTAATTGTGCAGTACAGGATTCTGATTGTGTACAAGCCCGGTGGCTTAAATTTTGCGTAAAATTACAGCAAGAAATACAGATTTATCCAGACCACGGCCTCCAAGTACCAATAATCGGTTGACCCGTTAATGGTGGGAATCTTATGGTTTTAACTTTAAGCACTTACCAGTGTCATCCAACTTTGGTTCACGTTGCAGAACCGGCATGAAATTTTATCAAATGAAGCATGATACGGAATTCGCAATACAAAGAGACTACAGCCACTTCATTACAGCAGATCCAAATGGTAATAACGAAATTTAATACAAAGTACAAGGCTGTTCAGCCACCGCATGCGACGATGGGCTTTGCTTAAATGTGGAACGTACCTTGACATAACTCCATAATTAGCCACAACTCCCTGCTTCCTTGTACCTGCACATTCAAGTCGATCCCGTAATATTTGACCAGGTTTCTATGCTCCACGGCCTGAATGCGCCGCACTTCCTCGACAGTGTCCTGAACGCAACCGGCATCGTCCGCATTCAGTAATTTGATGGCATACTGCTTATTGGTCGCCGAATCCACTCCAACGTAGACTCCTCGCGGACTCTGTCCACCGCGTCCCAAAAGGATTGGCGTGATGTTGCATGTGAACCCGGGATGCAGTTGACCGATGGCATCCATATAATCTAAATGTTTGCGATTGTCAGCGGATACAGAAGCCGAATTGGTGGAATTCGACGCCCTTGGATAGCGGTTGGCGCTACCAGTCTGCACGATGCTGGATATAAGCTGGGAACAGTGGGAAGTACTCATGATGCTCAGTTTCTAAGGTCATGCACTGCGAATAATGTTCGACTACTAATAAAATTAATAACTATAGTAAAAAATCACGTGCGTACTATTAATGATCAAACGCGAAAGTGCAACTGCGGTCTGCTGCACTCGCGAGATGAGAAGTCAACGCGGCATTACACGTCCTTATATCGACAACCGCGGGAACGGTTGGTTTGTTTGTGCTGCGCGTACGGCTGGTGTTAACGATAATACAGAATGGCCTGTAGCAGCTCTGCACGTGTAGTACTGCCTTAAAATTGTTATTAAAAACGAGCATAAACTCGGCGATGGGGCGGTATCTGTATTGTACTGTGCAGTGCAGTGTTCAACTTGGTAAGTACAGTCAATACATTTCTTTATTTTAAACTTGTACAAGCAAATGCCATTTACACTTACACTTAAACTCAAATATCGAATAGCTAGAACAAGTAAAACAACTCTTCAAGCTCTTTTGAACAACCAACAGTTCCGAGGACAGAAGCGGCATTTCCACGCTGAATTTCAACACTAATACGCTGCCACAAAAAATCGGTAGCGCGCACTTCTCCTGTTTGATCTTTTATGCGTCGGCCAACTTCATTTATGAACTGACGGGTACTGGCGCCGCAACTTCCCATAGTCTCCAAGGACACCGGTTGGAAAAAATAACGATCAGTCAATTCCTCGTAATTGCGCCTCTTTCGTTCTTCCGCGTCTTCTGCTGCCGAACCCGCTGTTTCTGATGAGCCGGCGATGTACGATATAGCAAATGTGTCGCACACCGTCACATCCCAAATCAAAGGAAGACCGTTCTTCCAAGGGAAAAGAGACAAACCGTCTGGGCGCTTCCCATTTGACCTGCACAGTCCAGGAGGCTCCAAAATAGTCGGGACTTTTGCCGATCCCAAGCTGCGCTGAATAAGGCTGTTCAGGCTTGCGTGACGCCTGAATCTCCCCTGACTTTTTAAACATGACAAACCATGCAAACCTTGGGCGTCAACTGTTTCACCGCATCGACACTTGTGCTGCTTACAAATCGGAGCTCCCATACGTAAAGCGACTGCGACTCGTAGTCCAGTATCGTCTAAAAGCGTGCCAAGGCTAGCAACAGGCAAAGCCAACAACCAGGCACTGGCATCCTTAGTGGAGACAGCCAACAAGCGAGCAGATGCGATAACGTCGGCGTTCTCCCCTCAAGGCTTCCAGTTTCCTGATAGTCAACATGTCTGACCACAAGCGTTGATTGCTTCGATCCCCTATCGCCGGGGCGGATTTTCTTGTTAATTCTTCCCACTGATGTTCTACGTCAAGTCGGTCATCAGGGCAGTCATCGGGCACAATGCTATTAACTAGCTCGTCAGTGGCATAAAGTGAAGAAAGGTATGCTGGTGTTGAAATTTCTTCCGCTTTCGGTAAGCCTAGCCCTCCTGATTTGACCGGCAGAGAAGCTTGCGCGTACGTAGCATCATCCATTTTGACATTTGTAATTTCTTCAGCCTTGGACTTAATCACAGCGTCAAGTACAGTCGTACAAACGTTACACATAGGTAAGTACTGCGTCTAATATTAAAGCCTTTTTAAGCATACATCGTATAATGCCGTATCATTTGGTCTGTTTGCAAACAGCACATTTTCCGTGAAAATTTCAAGCGTCAAACATGTCGAAAAAAGATGCGATATCAACAGTTTCTTCAGTGGTGCCACTCCAAACTGGTATAACATTTTGTTTTGCATGTCGACCGTTCCACATAAGGCCTTCTTTAGAGACCGAAAACTACAGATCTGTCGGATTAGCCGCATAGATTCCATGTCTGGGTGTATGGCGAGGACAAATGATTGCTGTTTGTTCCGACGTCATGGGTAGACAAGCTAATTGAGGGAAAAGTTGGTACCCGGCGATGCCGGTGGTCTTCACCATCTCGTGAGGACCACCGGCCTGGCAATTTTAACTTGTCTACATTGTCCTTAACTACGTAGTACGTGTATTGTAATGAAATTCGTGCAGCCGGCGATGACCTGACTTTCCTAACGCTTATTCGTCTCTGCGAATTGTTTCCAATAATGACAATTGTCTGGCCAGTTCGTTTGCGAGAAAACCATCTTCTTTACAACGGACGGTGTAAAAGTCGGCGCAAGCCGCGCAGGATTTTCCTGCTTGTCTTCCTGCTTCGGTTAGGAACTTAGGAGAACATCTTCACTGCAAACTAGAGACTGTAAATTTTCCGTGCCTGTTGGTGGTGACAGTAAATTTTCCGTTCACTCTCGAGGGGGCCATTATGGTAAGTAAATCAGCGGTGCTCGTTCCAGTGAACAGTGAACCTATCTTCGATAATACATACCACAAACCGAATTCTTTCCGGCTTTTTTTCTGTATACGAGTAAATATGAGTACTTGATATTTTTAAGAAAGCTTGAACCGTTTTCTTTCAATTGCGACTTAAAAGAAAGCAGTGTGAAAGAGCTTTAGCCAAGCCACGTGAGCCATTGCAGTACGCCCAGATAGGTAACTGCAGTCACCACCAACAGGCAACATGTGCGGCTGCGCCATACAATTTACATCCATAATCCATTTATTTATGTGTATTTTCATTTATTTTCGTTATTTTTTCAAAGTTGGTGTGTGTAAGTTGAATTCCAGTCTGTCTTTTAAGTCTATAGTCACCAAAAATACGTTAGTTATTTAGTTAAATAACCGGAAGGAATTCGGTTTGTGGATTTGTTATTCAAGTTGGCTTACTCGCTCAGTCACTTACCATAGTGAGATTAGTGACCCACTCGATCGACTGCACGCGTATAAGTTTTTCTTCTGTGCAGATTTCTTAGTTTTGCCAACTGGCTGAATTGCGCTCGAAGGAAGCCACTGAATTATATTAATTTTGTCAAGTTTTACAGAGCTTGGTTTCTGCTTGATTAGTCAGTATTAAGATTTTTCCGTAACGTTTGCTTGCTCTGGTACCGGTTTCCATCGCGAATAAAGGCTTATTGTACTGACCTTATAACATCGCTGATAAATAGCTGCAGTATGGTGGTACCGTTGCAGTAATGAGGTTATGTTGGCGACGTTGTACGCCCCTGCATCCACTGTTTGAATGATAATTACCGCTCGCCTTAACCGGAAGCTGTTGCACAATTGCCTTAATTGCAGTAGCGCAGCACTGCGCAGATCGTCGTGCAAGCAACACGCCAGCCATTCGCGCTCGTCGCCGCGCAAATTGGCGTAATTAGCCGAGATCGCTGCCTTGCACTGCGCACGCATCACTGTTTACGTTTATGGGACCAGCGCCATATCCCAGCCATCCGGAGGCCGGTAAACCACTCTACACTGCGCTCGTCAGCAATTTCCTACGGCGCCCACAGGGACACGCCGCATCTAACGTATTTAGTTCCAGTTCCATAAAGAAGACACGTAAACATATCAGGAAACCATTTGCCGCACTGATGATGCAACCTTCGCACCTGCATCTGCAGCAACTTGACCTTTTCTTTTTACTGCTGACTTTCCCCAGTCTCGTTAAGTCTAACACGTCTTGGGTTCCTTTAACGAAAATATTTTTCAACAATGCCGATCGACAGTTATAATGCGACATTGCTCTTCTCCAACTCCACAATAACTTCAGTTTTATCCCGGCCGTTTGTACTATCCTGGTTCACCGCTTCTTTCATTATTAACCTATTGGGTTCCAGTAGCAGCTTCCTTTTAATCTTCGCCCTCTGCACCCGCTCCCGTTTCCACTCCACAACGAATCTCCTGGTCATCCACCTGCTCCTCATCGAAGCCATCAACATGGCGGCGCCCACCATGCTGGCCATCTTCGCTGTCCTCCTCCACGAGACGCACCGGCCCTTCCCCGTCCACTGCTCCATAGTCGCCTTCACCCAAATCCTCTTCACCGTCTTATCCAACTGGTTATCGGCGCTGTTGGCCATCAACCGCCTGACGGCCAAGCTCTGGCCGTACCGCCACAAAACCTGGACCACCAAGTCCACGGTGACCATGGCGGTGGTCGGCACCTGGGTCCTCAGTCTGGCCACGACCATCCCGCTGCTCTTTGGAGTAGGGGGACGTTTAGACCGCTTCTATCCCCTTGGTTACTGCGGGGTGAAACCTACCCCTGGGGTGATGTTCGCCGTGTACACCAACATCAGCTTCACGTGCCCGTTGAGTGTACAGGCGGTGTGCTATGCGCTGATTGTGGGGTCGCTGCAGCGCTCCATGGTGGCGTGCCCGACGGTCGTGGCGGCGCAGCGGCGACGGCGACAGCGCGCCATCAGCTTCGTCTTGTTGGTGGTATTCGTGTGGTATTTGGTGTGCTATCTGCCTATTCCGATTATCACCACGTACTTTTACGGGCAGTGGCAGACGGATCACCGGTTGTTTGTCTGCTTTAAGACCTTGATGACGTGCGGAAGCGCCGGGACACCGGTATGTACGGTTTATAGCTGTGCGATAAACCAGAACTTTTTAATAACAGGTGCTGGATGTTTTGTAGATTATTCTGCTGAGTTTGAGCAGTGAGTACCGTTTAGCGGTGAAGGAGCGCTGGCGGCAGGTGAATTTTCCCTGCTCCTTTTTATGCTCGGCAGTGTGGGAATCGCGGAATCTGCATAAAAGTAGAGTGAGTGTTATCAGCGTACCGGCTGTCCTGGTGACGGATTGCAGTGCTGGAGACCCGATGAATGTTGATCACTGTAACATTTAAGCCCGATTTCTTTCGATCTCGTTTAATTTTCTGATTTCTGCATTCGTAAGCTGAGATTCAGAAGATCTTTCGCCATCCGTTTCCCTTTTTAATTTATCAATTTGATGGTTCTCTCGCGATGTTTCCGAACAGTTATTTTTCGGCAAAACCTACCTAGCCGTTATAAGCCTTCTGTGTATTACGGTTGTTGTCGGTTTTGTGCCATAAAAACAATTTCCTTTGTTCTCGGCTACCATAGAACGTTTTCAGTCAAAACAAAGTGCATTTAATGTCGATAAAAGTTGCGCAAGGTTCGTTTATTTTGTTTTGCATAACGTACAGAATTTTTAGTTGTAGTTACAACCAGCGCCAAAATTTCCTGCATCTATTCCAACTGGAATGACCGCCCTTTGGGTTTGCGCTGTACGATCTGCAATTGTTGTTAGTTAATTTGCATACCGCACGGGAGGACAATCATGATACTGATACCTGTTCGCCAAAGTAAACCAGTTGTTTGGAATGTAACAAGCTGGTGTACGGTTGCTCGGGCTCTCACGTCGCCGGAAGCTACAAGAAATGTGGCCGCGTGACCAAGCTCGGTGAAAGTTCGAAACGTGAGAAGTATTTGTTTCTGGAAAGCGGATACCGTTTTCATTTTCGCAGTGATGGAACGCTGGGAGTGTTCGGTCCGGCTTTTAGTGTTAACATTTTATGGGTCATAAAATTCGGACTTTACTGGAGGAGGAGCATTCTACTGCGTTTCTCAAGCAGCACTGCTGATAAAAAAAAATGCTACGGCTGTTTAGAGCACAGGGGAGTACTGCCAATAAAATTTTATTGCATCAACTAGAAAAAAATGCACCCAGGCTGCGGAATTCCATCATGAGTTCAGCAGCGGAAATTCTAGCATGTATTTCACGGCGCAAACAACTTCGCAGAACGGCAGCAAGGGAAGCCGGCACAAGATCGCTGATAAACGGCACATATCCATAGGAAATCAGATAGTGACAATAAATGTCCGTGTTCTTGCCGAGCACATGGACGTCCTTGGTCTCGCAGTTGAAGAACGCTCTCTCGTGGTTTCCTGTGAAGCATCTTAATAGATCTAACACAATGCATCCCACACTCCAGATATCGGTTTTCTCTTCAGGAAGAGCAGGCGTGTCTAGGAACATTTCAGGGGCTGTATATCGCATCGTAACGCTTAACGGCACCACAGCATAGTGTGCTAGGCGAGCTTGCAGCTGGGGAAAGTCATCGAGACCGCCAGTCTTTACTCGCTCTCCACCGTCGCCCATACGCTCCAGGAAGACTGTTCGCGACGTCAAATCTCCAAGCACGATATGCTTTCGGTGGAGAAACGCTAGTCCATCCGCCAGTTCGGTACCATAACGCAGCAGGGTCTTCATGTTCAGAGTCTTATGAGACCTTTTCAGTTTCCTCATTAGAGAGCATAGAGTGTCATCTAAAGCCGATTCTGTTATAACAGTTATTTCGCGAAAAGCTTAAGGATAGTGGACCGATACATGGTGCCAAATTCGGGTACACTCACGAAAACTTTCAGTTTCACGCACTCCCAAACACTTTTTGCGTCGTTGTCCGGCATTCTGTAGCCAAAAGACTTGAACACAATGTTGTAAAAACCTTTTTCAACATCCGGTTGGGAAGTTGAAGGTGAAATAAAATTTTTAGAGTTTAAACGCACGGAGGTGTTCCAAACGTCTCGTTGTAAACCGATTCTCTTCAAGTTTTACACAAGAAGCCACACGCGCATGAAGATCGTTTATTACGCCGAACCAGATTTCGATAATTTTCGCGAATAATTTTTTTTTAAAAATTATTCTTGTTTTTTTTTAAATTTAAAACCACCTTTACCATTTTTAAAAGTTGAAAAACACGGTGAAAATCTGGTTCGGCGTAACAACGATCTTCATGCTTATGTGCATTTTTATGCAAAATTTGAAGGATTCCGATCCATAATACAGTAAGACTTTTGGTATACCGTTTTGTCTTGACACGTTTCGAAATCTATATTTCGATACCCGGACAAACGGACAAGCGTATAGCGATGTGTTGACTATAAAATTTGCAATAAAACGATGCAAAACTGTTTGGGAGTGCGCGAAAGTAAGTTTTCTCGTATGTATGTACACGAACTGTTACCATGTACAGTAAAACCTCCTCTTACGTACACTCCCAAGATACGTACACCTCTATCTTAAGTACAAAAAATTCTGTACCGAAACTCTCCGTAGACTACAGTACAGGGGGGAACCTCTACGTGACGTACACCTCTACGATGCGTACACGTACACCTTTTCTCTGTACCGCCTAAGCATTGAACTGTACGCAATCACCTCGAATATACGTACACCGGGGAGTCAGCATTTATTTTTTAAATATTTGATGGGAAAATTGTGATAATCTAAATGTTGTCTTTTGTTCTGAACTGATTCGGACGATGTTTTCTGTTTGAAGTATGTGGGAGAGACTATTTCCGCCTGCTTATATGCTGTAAAAATATAAAAATGTGTATGAACTAATGCAGCATATCTATATAACATATGCAGCACATTTCAGAACTGCACGCAGTGTACAGTGCAGTAGAATGCAGTACACTGAGTATTCCGCGGTGGGGCACTGCCCTCATTATACAGCCCCCCCCCAGGGGGGCTTGGGGTGGCGATTCTATGTTACGTACACCCTTGAGATACGTACGAAAATTTTTGAACGGAAGTGTACGTATCTTGGAGGTTTCACTGTACCGGGCCATTTCCTTTAACTTCTGTCTCCTGATACTCACCAAGCAGGCACTCCATCATCAGTTCAACTGTAATTCCTCTCTCGGTTTCTGTTATGTTTATTTGCTGGTACTTTACAACGTGAGGATGTCGCAGTTTGATGATTTTTTTCAATCTCTTCCGCAGCGCCGCATAGTCAGCGGGATTTTCTCGCAGTTCCGCATGCTCTATTTCCACTACCTTTACCGCAACAGATTTTTGCGACTGCCCCATGCTGTCAGCATCCGAAAACAGTGCCTGAACTTTTGGTACGAAGCCACGACGTTGTATCTTCCAAGGTTTACTGACGATACCGAAACGGCCTCGTCCGATGTAGTCTCTCGGGGTGCATACGTACTTGTAATTGCTGCCGAAGCGTTCTGTTAACCGGCCGTGCTGTTGCCCCATCGCTTAGAAAATAATCCTCGAATTATCGCCAGTATTCAGCCGGCAAATTGTCCCAAATAATATAATTATAAGGACGACAAATTTCGCAAGGACGTATTAAAGCGTAAAGACCTTACGCAGCATGTGCAATCAAACTCAGATAACGCTCAGAAGCTAGATTCGCAACTGAACAGCTGCAGCCGTATAACGGCCTCTTCCGCATTACCACCGAAACCGAATTGTGACCGCTGGATGATTGTATCGATTTACCGTGAAACTGATTTAATAGCACATAGGTTTGTTCATTCAGATGCTTCTACCCGTTACAAAATCAAATTTACCATCTGTAACGTACCACAGAAACTCGTTTTCAGATGGGTTTGACTGTATTAACACAATCCGGGTAGATTCATTCAGCACAATAATTGTAGGCCTAAATACACGATAAGTTACGTTTATCAGGAAGTTGCTGTTCTTATCTTATTGGCGGACAATGTTATCTGCTGTTGGGTTGGGTTAAGAAAAGAAGTACACTCACGGTACTCGTAGTAAAACTTTGTGTATAAACTACTCTAGCGAAGTCAGGCAAGCACGACCATGTCCGCTAGGCCATAAATTTTCCATGGAATCACGTGAACTAGAGACATTTGTAACCCAAATGTCCGGGAAACAAAATACGGTCCGCGAGAGGTGACAAGCCGCACTAAATTTATGTACGTACAGTTGCATTTAGGTTTGTAGGAGTGGAGCGCTTCGCTTACGGTAAACGTTGAATGTAAAGACTATAGAATTTTTACCCAACTTAAAAAACAAGCAGAATGATATGTAAAATATGTAGTTGAAATTGTATGTACTTGCACAGTTGTACTGCACTCCCTCGTCAAAAATATTATATACTTTAATGGTAACTTTTGAATTAGACTTAGATATTACAGATGATCTCCTTGTTTTATAATACTTACGAATATGAAACATTTAGATATGGATATAGAACATCATTTTGTATTTATTTCGACATATACCACATAACTGGTACTACATAAAAAAACCAACATCCGAGACATACTTTCTCATGAAAACACCAACATAATCAGACAAAAAAATCGAATTAAATAATGCGTCAGAAGCGTAAACGGTGAACTGACAGAGTGTTAAAAATTCCAAAATGCCAGCAACAGCGGCTACTAAATGCATCAAAAGCTAATTAAAACCAGGATGGCAAGTACAACGATGGATGTCGACATCCACGCATTTCCCGCTAAATTTGCGTTCTGGCCATGGAGCTGCATAGAGCAATAATTCGTCTGCCCTGTAAAACATTTAAGTCATCAGCACGGCTTATTTGCGTATATATGATATGTTTAGTCGCACATTATTTTTCTTCATTTAAGTAAGACCATTTGTTAGCAACAAACCGCTACAATATGCATAGACTTTTGATACACCAGCCACAAAATTGCTGTGCATGTTGACATGCAGTTATAAAGAAAACTATCTTAAATTAAGCGTTAATGTTTCTGTTACGAAAACATTTGGCCAAAAAAATTTGAAAATTGTCACTTCGACAAGAAAAATTTCGTATTGCTTTTACAAGTACAACTGCAATGATCAGTACAGCGCAGCATCACCTGGCTGATTTACTATCTATTATTTTTTAAAATTCATCATTTAAAAATTGAACAAGAAAAAATGGTTGCGAAACGTGGCAAAACGAAATACAAAAATGTAATAAACTTATCATCAACACACCGCTAATTGCGCAGTAACTCATTGTCGAAGCACTCATTGAATTCGGCTTTATTGCATGTCGTCATGCACAATCGTCCAGCGACGCAGTGCTTCATAAGGATCTGCAAATAAAAAATACACAATAATTCGAAACATTTTATTTTTATGATGCTTGATATGGAAGACTATTTGCTTGGCTCTCACCGTAGGACTTATCCAACATTGGTGTGGGTCCTCACATCAGTGCAGACAGGGTTAGGTGCTGCACCTGCTTCCATAACATGCCGTGCCTGACAAGCTCCACGCATAAAATAGCGATACTGGCAGTGCTTGCATTGACCACTGACGTTTTAAAATCTGATTTGGCTGTCGACAGTCATATAACCAAAAAAACGTGGAGGACTCAAACAAAATCACAAATCTTCTGGAAACACCGTAGTAAGACTGCGAGAAAGTCGAGAATTGCCGTTACCAAAACTGGCTGTCGAAATCAACTTGGGCGCAACGGCGCTGAACGTGAACTTGGGTTGAGCTTTGAATTTGCCTTACAACCAATCAGAAGCAGCATTAAAGTTGCCTGCAGTTAGCGTAGTCTGCAGCAAAAGTATTGCAGTCACCGCGTGCGCAGTAAGCGCAGTTTCACGTAATACTTAAAACTTTGTCGTTAAAGCTTTACTTCCAACCCAACTAGTTAATTTGGCGCAGGTTGCTTCAGAAGACTTTTGCTTTTTCGTTTTTGAGGTTTTTTTAGACTTCTGCTTTTGCTTCTCCGACCGGTCTTCTTGATTTCGCGCAGAAAACATGTGTTTTATAACTGGTTACTTAACAAGGTTTTGCACAAAAACTTTGATACTTTAAACGGCCACACATGGATCGAAATCGCTTTTTAGGTTTTGTGGCGAGGCGACCAATGTCAGTCGACCGACAAAGCTTTCGCTTTAGATGCGTTATGTTGACATTGTTATTTGCATTGAACGGTGATAATTTCATATTATTAGGAAAACAAAATTCAGCTTTTGCTATTGCCAACATAGACAGCTAACTTAGATACAAATTTTAATGTTGATGTAAAACATGATTTCTACTCGGCTGCCAAAACTATGCCGAGGATATATTTTATGATAGATTGCGGAGATGTTCGATCATTTTGATGTACTTTAGAAAATACTTTTTGACGAGGGACTGTTGCTGTTGCTGGTACTTCTATGCATAACTGGGAAGCGGAAGAGATGCTCTTGTACTATGTATGTACTGTACGTAATGTGTCCAGATACTGTGAAAAACACAATCCGCTCTAGTGTCGTCACTGTCGTGTACAGACAGCCGTTGTCCATCGGCTTTTGACCAGAACTAACTACTGTATATACTTCTAGTATAAGTTACGCGCATTGCAGATTGTGAGTGAAGTTGCTGTCATGTACCGCGCCATATTTTTGCACTGAAAGACCGCTTTTCGGTGCAGTCACGGATCTGCCATCAGTGCAGTCTTCCTTTATCCAACTATCGCTCAAAACAGTTCGCTTGCGCTTGAGATAACAATTCTTTTAAACGGATAGTTGATTTTCTCTGCTATTAGCAGTTTCCACATAATACCGATATATAATCCGCAAGATCTTATTCAAAAAAACTATTAATTAAAAAAATGGCGCTATTTAAACAATTAGACAGGTACAAAATTTCTTATCGTGTCGATGTACAAAAATGTAAGAGCGAGAGTAAAACAACAATCAAAGTGCCGGTTTTTGTCAGCAATATTGATAGTGCTACTAATTATTTTATATCGCATAGTAACAATAATAATATCAGTATATAAATATACAAGTATCGGTCGCGCTAGCGCGCGACCAGCTGTGTTCGAGGTATGGAAAAATGAAAGAATTACAAAATGCAGTTCCTACAACAATAAAAAAGATTTGAGGAATATTTCAAATATAAAACCCCAGCGAGGCCAGCTAGAAAATATTTTAAACATGTGGAAGTGCGGACCGTTTTCAAGCTTTCCGGTTAAATTCGACCAGTTTTATAAAAACTGAAAGCCTCCGTAATTTTTCTCTTGTTTGCCTTTTTCACGGTTCTTTTTCCCGTTTTTAATACAACTTTATATTGCCGATTCTCACGAACTGAAAACCTGTATTTTTTGGTACGAAAGATAATATTTAAACGGTGATAAAATGGATGGAGTGGGATCATTTACTGTATTTTCACGAGTTTAAGGAACACGAAATGCCCTAGGTCTGCTCGCAGCCACCCGGGGCCTGCATCTACGTTCAATGCTGTTCGCTGAGCTCTGAAATCAACAACTGCAATTTAAATCATTGTTGAATTTATTGTTGCTCATTACGGGGCGCCATTTCACAATTCACAGAATCACATTACTATTTCTTTCGGATATCCATTGATTATTTTTACTCAAATTCGCTTTGTTTACTTTTCGAGAATTGTGAGTCTGGCTTGTGTGTGCCAGGGTTTGCCCCTGGCCAGGGGGTGCCCCTGAGGGGCAACATCGTTTCTCTGCATTTCTGCAGACTCAGTTCTAGGCTTTGGCTGTGTCTTTGGTTTAGTTTTTTTGCTAGCTCGGATCCCTAAATTTGACGAGGCAAGACCGTATTTAAAGACTGTCTGAATCGGTTTGATTATGTACGTGGTACTCTGCACTCTGCAGTCTTGACCACTGCTCAGTCTCCTTGACCACTGCTCAGTCTCCTTGACCACTGCTCGCACCGTGCTGCACGCTGTCGGTTAGACTGACTTAAGCTCGACATTTCCTTGTGTGATTACCAAATATTCGGCGTTTCCGACAGAAATTTGCCAATATTCCACCCAATCACCCTTGCTCTCCTGACCGCGTCATCCTGATTTATCTATACTACCGTATTGGAACTTAAAATTTTAATTTTTTCTGTAATTATTTGCGAGTTACTTGTGCATAAAAATGTTTTCCGCCCCTGTCCGTATTGTTAATTATTGCATTGCTTGTTAATTTGTTTGCCTAGCATTATTCGATGTTTGCTTTATTTTAATTATGACGAGTCTGCTGCCTCGGATTGGGACTTACCCAGATTGTGTGCGGACGTTAAACGATTAAACTTAACTTAACTTAACATTAATAATGTTGATAATTTATACAATTTATTATCTGGTATCATCGCTGACGACCAGCAAGCACCGAGTATTGCCCAGATATGCCAGGAAAACTGTTCCCGTCCGAAAATCATCCAGCCAGACTGGGAAACACTATCCTCTGATGTCACCGTCAGGTTTGAAAATTTTCTTGGTGATGTTACTGCTCGGCTTAAAAATGCTGAACTACTGGGTCGTATCTCGGAAGCCAACGCTATAGAATTACTAACCTGGTCTCTAGCTAACTACTTTATTAAAATTCTTAATTGTAAAACTGTAAATAACTCCGCGTATTTCGATAAAATTTTAAAACGGTCCGTTCCACGTGAATTACTTGATGAAAAATTTAAAATTGCTGGTCGTATTACTAAAATTATTCGCAAACGTAGGCGGTTGCAGACGCGTGGTTTTCAGTTACCGGAAGAGGATGTATATGCTCTGCAGCATCTCCGTGTCCTTAACAAAAAGTTGTGCAACCAGATTTCGGAATTAAAAAAGGCCTCTGAGATGCAGTCTAATGAAAAGTTTTTTCTTAAAAACCGATTTGCT